AGAGGGAGAGGGAGCAGGGGGCCACCACCCCCCGCTCTTGCGGGCGCAGGCCACGAACGCAGGGGGCCCCCGCCCCTCTTCGTGGTTAGGCAGAGGGCCCGCTCCACTCGCCCCTGCGGTAACACAGGGGTCCCCCGCTTCGCACCCTCCCGCCCGCTAGGCGGAACGCAGGGGGGCCCGCCCCCCAATCTTCCCCCGCCCCGCTCCCTAGCTAGGGGCTTTTGTGGTGGGGCGGTCTTGTTACACCAGGAAGAGTTAGCTACGTGATGCGAGCTCCTAGTGTTAAGTTCGTTACACGGAGGCCAAGGCTAGTATATCAAAAGACGAAAAAAACTTCAACGCGCAAGTAGGGCGCCGGGGGTAGGCTCTTGTCGAACAATCATAACCATAAGCAGGGCGCCGGTAGACTTTTTCTATGCTGTATCTCTTGCTGCAAGGTCATTTTTCATTTGCAAGGATCCAAGTGGCGCTAAGGTAAAGGTATCGCTGTCACTTTCTCAAATCATCTGAAACGCGAGACCTAGGCTTCTAGTGGTCTCAGGTGAAAACAATCAATGTGCTGTGGCACAATCAGATCCAAGAAGGGGGCAACTCGCCAGATGTCACGTTGCTTGTTGCTGCACCACGTGGACAAACAAGCGCGAAAGCTCACTACGTGCCAGTTTTGGTTGATCTGCTTCTCCTGGATCCCTCGTCGCTTTTCATTACCTCCAAGGGTGGCTCGACCTCCGTCAGGGATGTCTATTCGCCTTCCTCGCGTTCTTCCCGCTCGCCGCAGGGTGGGCGGGATATGGCCTCCTAGCTAGCCTTCATTCCGAGGTAGCGGTGGATAAGGCAAGTACACAGACACAGGTGGGGGTGGGCGTGACATGGAGAAGATAAAACTTCCGCTTGTCTTCTTCTACTTCATGATTAGACCACCCTGCACCCTTTACTTCTCTTCTGCTGCATCTCCTTTCGGTGACGCGCTGCTCTTTTGCATCCATCCGCCAATTGCGTTTGTTTCGCTGCATGGCACCGGGGTTAATTACTCACGGGTCTGTCTCGCACTGGGGAAAACCGCTCGTCTGAGTCGCCCAGGCATCCGGCTCTCGTACGCAGGAGAAGCTTGTTCTAGTGCGCGCCATCAAGCCGGCGTGGTCGTCGTCGTCTTGCTCAACCTGGCTTCCAATTCCGCCTGTACCATGGTCATGTTCATTTCGAAGGTCTGGATCAACCGCCGCAGTTCCTGCGTGGACTTGTTCCGAAAATCCGTCGCTTCGGTATCCCCCTCCAAATCATGTAGCTCCGTCTCCAGCGCCTGCCGTTCCTTCAGCAGGGTCGCTACCTCCTCGTTCAATTCGTCAAAACGGGTTTGCAACTCCTTTTCCTCCTTCACCGCATCCGCGTCGTCGGACCGCGTCCGCAGGGTCTCCTCGCACTTGAACAGGCTCTCGATCGCGTGGCTCAAGTGCCCCTGAAAATCGTCCTCCCACGTGCGGTTCGTAGAAGATGCAGCGGGCTGGAGAGAGGAAGGGGAACGGGGCAGATCGCCTGGGTATTCATCCAGGAAGCTTTTTCATTTTATGATTTTGTGATAAGCTTCCTTTTGTTCTCGTTGGTCTGTGGAAGCCGAGGCCGTCCATATCGCGGCGCGCAAGAAAAAATGGCGAAGATGCAAACAAGAAGAAAGCCACGATCCAGAGCTGTCGCTAACGCTCCACATGATGAAAGAATCCGGAACTTCTTAAAAGTACCTATTATCGGACTCCGCACGGTAAGCCGATTTATGAGCGCTTGGTCATGGGGTTCGAAAAATTCGTCATTGAGGTTTTGTGGCGGTGGTGCCGGACCAGCCGGCTTCGTAGAAGTACTGCCTGAAGACGCGGATGCTGGTGGTGCGGCCTTTTTCGCGGCAGGAGCTGCGGCCGTGGCACTCGGAGCTTTACCCAAAACACCACTGCGCCACGCGGCTTCATCAGCTGAGTCCTCCATCTTTCTACTTGTGACAGAATTTTTTTCACGTGGATATCTAAAGTTGTCCCAAAACAAACAAAGCGAGGAGCAAAGCTTGTAGGTCTTGTGCTTTTCCTCTTCAAGGTCCACACGCACAATGATCTCGACGCCCTCACGACGACCGTCGTCGTTCGTTTCATACTCATTTAGTAAATTCTCACACGCAGACATAACTACCTTGATGCTCCGGCGGGACAGGAACAGGTGCCACTACACGGTTACGCAAAAAGACTTTGTGCAGAACAACGGCAACAACGTCCACTCAACCGACTTACAATGATCACCGCGATGAATTCGTTTCATACGCCGTTGAGGCTTATGACCAACAAACTATAATCGGCGCGTATTCGCCCCGCGCCGCGGGTTAAGATTCTCTTTCTCATGTGAAATGGTGCATGCCATGACCTCCCTTTGTTCTTTCTTACAACTGCGGTTTCTGTAACACTGCTAAGGGAACATCAATCAATGCTGTGGTCGTAGTCGTTCGTACATAATTTTTCTTGCGCTAGTAGAGCCAAATAGAAACATCTTCAAGACGTTTAATATGTTTATTCCGCCCCGTCATGAATCGATGGATTTTTTCCAGAAGTTTGGGTTTTGCGTTAATTTTCTTCGAAAGGAGTCGAACCACTGCTCCAATGCCCCAATGGGGACGAGTTTCTCTTGCACCAACGCCTGCCCCCGCGTTCGCCACTGTTCCTCGGTGAGGATCCAACCGCTCATGTGATCGTAGCAGTTCTGCGCAAGCGCCTTCACAAATGTGAGGTAGTCCGTCTGTTGCTGCTGCACCTGCTGTTCCTTGGGCACGATTTTCTGCTGTATTGCGGACAGCGGCTCGACGAGCACTCCTATCCTCGTAAACTGCGGTTCCGGTGTGACCGCGACGATCGCCGTTTCTGCAGACAACATGGCTGGCTGTGCGGGCGGCGAGTTCGACGCACTGCTCTTAGAAGTACTGGCGGATGATGAGACGCGGAAGATCGCGGAGGGTTTGTCATTGGCCAGATGCCCGAGGAACTTGAAGCCGTTGTCGGACAACATGAGGTAGACAGACGCGCCGTGGTTCTCCGGCAACGCTTGCGCACCGGTGAGGAAGAGAACCAAGTGCTGCAGCTGGGAGTGCGGCACTGGGAGCTGGAACATGATCTCGTTGTCGCTCATAATCTGCCCGTTCACTTGCACCGGCTGACCGGGAAGGATTAATCCGATCACGTTGCTCGTTGCGGCCATGATCGATGTTAGTCGGATTCAAAAGTACAACTAGAGTCGGATGAAATAATGAAATAGCGACAGAAGTAGAGGATGAGACCTATCAGTTTCAAGCTGTGCTGTCGCTCTCCTTGTCCGTAATGAGCAATTTACGGATATTTATTCCTGTCAGCAGGGGAGTAGGACTCTGGACTCTCGATCTCGTCGTTTTAACTACCAATATCAGGAAGCAATGACTTCTAATTCATCTGTTTGATAGTGCAAACTCTAACTCTTTCTTAAATTTCTAGAAGATGTTGAGACGACCCTGCAACTAGAAGCAAATCATGAAACAGAGATACTAGTATGCATTGCCCACCGGTTTGCCTTCGCCGATGCATTTGCAGTTTTGTTTGTCGTCGATTCTTTCATTGTGTGATTCTGGAGTAAGATGCCGTTGTGAAAATCATCCTCCAATGAATTTTGATCTGCTAATGTGTATGCATGCAAAAATTTTGTACAGGATGTGTGGTTCCGCTTCGTACTTGAGACGACTATATCAAATTCCAAAAAAGTTGCTACATGTATGATGAAACAAAAACGAAGATTTTTGTGTGCTACTCAAGCGGTAATCTGCTTGATGCGCTCCGTTCATACTCCTAGGAAATTTTGAAAGATTAAGATTTACGATTGGAAAAACTATGATGAAAACAGATCTGACTAGAAGTCATCCTGTTTCTGAACTAGAATTTCTGCTATTGTTCCGAAGACTAAAAGATAACTGCTCATCAAAGATAAAGATTCATTGTAAATGTAAACTCCGAATAAAACAGGTTAACGGAAAACTACCGATTCTTCTGGTGGTTGTAGTTCGAGTTCCAGTGTAATTGTACAGAATACTAATGATTTGACCTGGAGATGAATTATTGCAGGTGAAGTGTACTGTTGCTGACGCTTCTAGTTCTACCCAGCAAAAAATCTCATCATCCGTCAGTCTTCGTACGGCATCAGAACGGTGTAGGAAATCCGTTTCTTTTTCGGCACTGTGGACTGTTTCCGGATAACTTTCTGCGGTCCGCGGCGAAAACCGTAATCCGACAGGTTCATCAATTCGTCCGCGGCGTTCTGTGCCTGCATCTCCTCCTTCAGATCCCGCACCTCGTAAATGAGCCGGCGACTGCTCAACCGGCCCAAAGCCGACTGCTTCCGCCGCTGCTCGTTCATCTGCGATAAAGACTTCCCCGCGGCAATGCCCTCCGGCGGCCCCGCGCCGGACTTTTTTGGCATCTCCGTGAGTGTGCGCGCGCCGGGCACGAGGAAAGACTTGGGTTGGTGCTGGAACATATCAAATGTAAAAATGTCTGGGTCTGGAAGAATTCATGTTTGTCATGCTTGTCTGGCATGACTCTTAAATCTGTCATGCACGTTACCCAAGAGCTTCGCTTTTCTGTGATGCAGAAGCGCAGTTTGTCATGCAGAATAGGCAACACCTAGGAGCTCAGAAACTTGTCATGCTGAGCCAGCATCTGTAGCCTCATCATGAGACGCCACCCAGCATCACAAGTTAAAGTTTCCAGACCCAGACATTTTTGCATTTTATAGAACAGTGCGGGGCCGCACAGGTAGCTCGGCCGCGACTTCTTCCCGGTGTTGTTCTCCTGTTCCTCTTCGTCTTTATGGATTGCAAAAATGTCTGGGTCTGGAAGATTGCAACTTCTCATGCTAAAGCCGAATAGTGCAAAAATCTGTGTTGCATGAGTGCCAAAAGCTGTCCACTTTCGACCAAGTTGGGAGGGGGTTTCTCATGCAGGATAGGCATGGCAGAGACCTCACAGACTCTGTCATGCTAGGTCCCGCATTCCAGACCTCAGGGGTCATGGAAAACCTGCATGACAAGTTTACACTCTTCCAGACCCAGACATTTTTACATTTGATAGTCTTCCGGGGAAGACGAACTCAGCATCCGACTGTTCTGCTTACTTCGGACCTGTTGCGATGTTGTGGTCTTTTTTCTCACGACAGCACTGCCGGTGGAAGAGGTGGAAGTTGTTTTGTGCACCACGCGGGACGGAGGCGACGAGGCTTTATTGAGATCTCTCAGCCTTGTACTACTAGTAATGCCTGTTGCAACCGGTGCCGTGGCCGGTCGCCGGTCGTATTCGAACTCGTCGAAAAAGTCATCTTTTTCATTCTTATCCACTGCAAAAGTATCGTACTCGTATGAATTGCAGGTATGCATGGCAAATCTGGGTGGTTTGCTAGTGCTACCTGAGTCTGCATTACAAATTCCAACTTTCATTTTCTTCTTGAAAGAATTTGTCATGCGCTTTATACTAGTACGACTACGATAACGATACTTTTGCAATGCATAATTCTCCTCCAGCTGCAAATCCTCAGTTTCTTGCAGTAAAGTCCTCGCTTTCAACTCGTCGGGGCGCAGCGTGGTCACCATGGACGAAGGAGATTCATTTTCGTTTCCGCCATGTGAGTCTTCTCCTGCTCCTGGTCTTCTTGACGAGACAAGAGATGAGACTTTGTTCATGGCGTTTGCGGACTCTTGTGACGCGGTTTTTAACACCCTTTCCGCTCGATGCTGTTCTTGCATCATCTCTTCCTGTTCGTGGTCTAGCACGACCGTTTCCCCTTCTTTGTAGTGCGCACCGAGACCGAACGCGAAGGTCATGCCCTTCTTCAGCGTCTTGTCTTTCATATTTTTCGCTGGTGATACTGACCTACTATTCGAAGATGCGGCTCTCGCCCCCGTCAGATCATCGTTCGGCCCGAGGCCCTGGAACATGCGCTGAAAAGCAATTTTCTGCTCCGCTTCGCTTCGTCGCAGTGGCGGTTCCTCGGGCACGACGAAGACCTTCTTCTTGTGTCCATTTGGCAACTCCTGGTCGGCTTCTCGCAAATTGAACAGCGCCATCGCGTTGGCCCACGCCTCCTTCTCGGCCTGCTTCGGGACCACCCGCTCCGCGTAGCACCGCTGGAGGAAGGTGACTCCCTCGAAGTCCCGCGGGCCCATCTCAATTGCCGCACGGCCAAAGGCTTTCACCAAAAACCACCGCTTTTTGCTCAACCGGGATTTCGTGATGGCGTGCCGGTCGAACATCGACCGCTGCGCCTTCTCCTGCTCCTTTTGCGCGAGCATCCACAAGTTATTGTTAACCAGAATCCTCCGCACCGCCTCCTTATCGTCCGCGTCGCCGCACAGCACGAATTTCGCATTTTCTGCCTGTTCTAGGTTCCGCAAATCATGCTCTTCCTGTTTCGACAGGTGCGCGATGTGGTCCGTGTCCTCCAATTCTGCCGACCCTAACTTTTCCGTCTGCTCATTCTTACTGCTCGCCGAACCAGCGGAATCCCGGCTGAATCTGCGGCCGGCCGCCGCACTGGAGGATCTTTTGGACACGACTCTCCTGTTACCCGCTCCTGGGGCAGAAGACGGTCTTCTACCACCGCTTTGGCTTTTCGGACTGAGCGACGACCCATGGTCCGCTCCCGCGAGAGATTCCACCGCGAACACCGGACCGGTTATGCTTTTCGCCAATGCGTATCAAGTGCAAAAGTGTCTGGGTCTGGAAGAATGCAGACTTGTCATGCATATTTTCTATGATGATTGATGCCTCTAATGCATGATCTAGCGACACAGATTTTTAGAGCGCTTCCTAAACCTAATGCCTATTCCGCATGAGAAATGCCCTCTCCACGTAACACAAACTGGAGTCCTGTTGCTGGTCATGCAATACAGATTTTTTTGGAATTTAAAGACAGCATTACAAGTTGCAGTCTTCCAGATCCAGACATTTTTGCAATCCATAATGCGCCGACGTCTTTGAAGCGCTCCTGCTGTTCCTCGCGGAAATACTCCAGTGCCTCGTTTGCGTCACGGATAAAATCGCCCGGCGCGGGCGTGTCTACGTCGAAAAATTCCGCCACGCGGGAGTAGGGGTCCACGTCCGGATCCTCTTTCAGACCTAACGTTTCCAGCAGCTTCTCGTTCGTGGCAAACTGGCAGTCGCGAAACTTCGCCCGTATCTTTTCGCGTTTCGCCGGGTCCTGCATAAGCGAATTCCTTCTCGCCCACCAAGGGCTCGGGATACCCTGCTCCTTGAAAAAATCCAGGATGGCCTCCGGGGACTGGTCGGGGACGAAAGCGGAAGAACTGAAACTAGAACGGGAACGGGAGAATTGCAGCCCTTTCTCTATCTGATAATTTCAACAAGTTGGAAGTTAGTATATTCACTAGATTCTGCTTGCAGAAGCAGATCGTCGATGTAGATGGCCTACAGCAACGGAAGCAGTTGTACCAAAACAAGAGACATCGATCATCTGACTAAGTATGAGAATCAGAATTTAGTAAAACTCACCCCAACTTTTGTCGTCCTCTCCGGCATCAAACTTTTGAACGGCCTCGGGTTTTCCCCGAGTACGCTGTCCGTCCGCTGGAAGTGCAGTTTTGGATTGCTCGCCGTGTCCACGATGCCCAGCTTGGCCGCCGCAATTGGGTCGCTGTGTCCGGCCGCTATGCCGTCCATCACGTCTTTAAGCGAGACGCGCTCGCCGCCCGTCCCATTGCGGCTCGGCGCGTTGGAGGATTCTGTTGGTTTTGGATTTGGAATGCGATATGATCGTCTATTTTCATGTCAATGTCATGTTGATATTGTAGATTGTAGCCTTCTTCTTGCGAAATGCTTTTAACCGCAAGAAGAAGAACCCAGACTGCAAGCATGATGAATTTTACCTGCATCCTCGAAATCGTCCAAATAGTCTTCGGGGTCATCTTCCTCATCCTCCGACTGGTAGTTGCCCTCGTGGTATCAGATGCAAAAGTGTCTGGGTCTGGAAGAATTCGAGATTTGTGACGCAGTTTTGCCTGACCCGGATTGTCTGGCATGCAAGCCAGCACAGCAGCACAGATTTCGAGCAGGTCTCCCAAGGCCTAAGACGCATGACAAATCCCCTGCTTCGGTAACAAGAAACGGGCACGGGGCCTTTTGCTGGCCATGCATGACAGAATTTCTCATGATGTAGAATTCGCATCACAAATTGGAATCCTTCCCGACCCAGACATTTTTGCATTTGATACGTGACGCATCGGAGGACCGGCGTCCACGCCCAATTCGTCCTCTGCGTAGGCCATACTTCGTTCTGAGACTATTTCTCGCTCGTCTTTAGAATTCGCACAGCACGTGGGGGTGGGGAAAAAAAGTCCCGTGCTGCAAAAAGAAAAGATGTGTGATTTCAATTTTGGTCAACAACGTTTTGCTTCCGAAATAGCTTAGCGTACGACAACGAGGCATCAAAAGGCAGTTGTCATGAACTAACACTGTACGCGTTTGTGAAAAAGACTGGCAAGCAGGCGCTACGAATCGAAAAAAAGACGAGTGCGACGACCCCCAGCCCCCCACGCATGGCAACAAAAAAAACGAAAAAAACCGGCAGCGCGTGCCACAATAAGTTGTTTTCCTTTTCGCAGCGATACATCCAACCGCAAATCAAGAGCAGATGCCCCCCAACCCATGGACGAGATATGATACGACCACATTGACCGACAACGGTCTTATGATACGAGATATGATACGACCTTATCCCGCGGGTCATCTGCTGTAGAATCCCGACGGCTTGCTGCTGCAGCTCCTGTGCGCCGGTGGCGTGGAGAACATCGTCCGGCACGACGTAGGAGATGTTAACTGCGCCAGCCCGCGATGTGGAAATACTTATGGACCGGAGGAAGTCCGCTACTTTCTGGTCTTTTGCTGTCCCACTCCTCGTATCCAGCGCAAAAGGAATCGCACTCGTTCAATTTGTAATGCTCTTACTTAGTCTCGCATGACAGATCTGCTTTCCTGCATGACAGATTTGATTTCGTTTTTCCTGTCTGCATGACAAGTTTCATTTTTCCTGTTGCAAAATTTGTGAAGCGACTCCTGCTAGTGCGATTCTTTTGCGATGCATAAGCCATCGCGCGCTCCCACCCATACGGGGTCCCGACAACGAACATCCGTAACGCCCGGGTCTGGTTGTTCATTGCGCCGCCTGCCTGCTGCAGGTGGATGAGGGTGTGACGATCCGGCCCCGTCGGAACACTAACATTTGCCGCCACCTCCTTCAATATCCTCGCCTGGATTGCCGCCTGTTGCTTGTTGATCAGCTGGCACGCAACGTGGACACGCGCCTCCCACTTGTCCGGGTCCGCACCAATTCCGAGAAGGAAAAGATGCGCCCCTCCGCCCATCATCACACCCAGTGGTATTCGTGTGTCGGAGCCAAACCCATGCAGCCCCGGACCACCCAAGGCGCTGCTGTTTGCAGTTGCAGTTTTGCTCGGACACAAAATCGTTGATGAGGGTACGCAAACCCCATGCCACTGCTCCCCTGCCTTCCACTGCATCTCCAAGTGGGTCACGTTCCACTTTGCCTTCCACCACTCCCCTGCCTTCCACTTCCCCTGCCTCCCCTGCCTTCCACTTGCTCACTGCCAGATGGCACGCTCACGAAGCCCCACCAGGTTTATCGACGCCAGCCTGCCTTCAACCGCGCCACCTGGTTTGGCGGCAGTCAGCAGGTGTCCATCAACAGGTGCTGGGCAGACTGACGTATCCGAATGGGTGAGCTTCGGGATTGGTGTCCGGCGGGGATGAGCTGGGTCGCGAAAGAGTTGGCACTTGTTGCGTCCGCCATGCGGACTACATCCTGGAGGACCTGGAAAGGGGTGCTGCTTTTGTCCGGCCAAGCCAGTGAAATTCGTATCCACAGTGACACCGACACGCCCGTCCAAGTAAAACCGAAGATCGCCCCGGCATTGCATAACAGGACGAAATAAACTTAATTAAATCTTGTGCCTAGCATTACATATAGGTTCCGAAGTCGAGACCTCTTCCGACATGAAGTGGCAACCGTTGCCATAGGCCAGATTTGCATGCCACTACAACTCTACGACACACTCACAAAACTGCAACCAAAGTCACATGCACAATCAACATACAAGAACTCTCTGCCGATTTGGAACATCGACGAGGCCAATTTGTAAAACGACGAGGGCAGTTTGCGATCGAGACAAAGTGAGTCGAAAATCACACAAAATGCAAAAGACCATGCAATTTTTTATCTCTCTCATCGATCCGAAAACGAAATTTGTCAACTTTTTGAATTTGTTTTGAATTCGTTTTGAATTGATTTTAATGTAAGGCACTTTGGAGTTAACCCCAACCCATGGACGAGATATGATACGACCACATTGACCGACAACTCGGAAAGGGGTGTCCGAAGGGGGCAAAAATGCACCCCCCTGACCACCCCCCTTGCCGGGTTTCCTCTTCCGGGCGAACGTCCTCGCTGTGGTCCGGTCCCGGAGGTGGCCCAACCACTTCTCGAAGAGCGGGCCTATTCAACATTGCCGGGCCATCTGAGCGACAACGCACAGCACGAAGGCGCTGCCGCCTGTTTCGTGTCTTGCTATGAAGGCCTTTTGAAAGCCGAGCTATCACGTTCCTCGTGGAAAAGATGAAGTGATGCTGTACTTCTGTTGATTTCCGGGTAGTTGACTCCCTGACAAGAGAAAAAAAAATACCCCCCCAAAGTGTGAGCTGACAAAAATGATGCTATTTGCCGATTTTTCCGCCCTAACATGGACGAGATATGATACGACCACATTGACCGACAACGATGTGCAGTGTCCCCTAGTTCTACGAATTGTTACTTAGAGCTTTAACACGCGTTAGCATGAGACGTGGCGAATCTCTAGTGAATTTTGCATGACAAATAGCAGAGGAGACTGCCGGGACATTGTCCCTCTCGCCCTTCTGGGAAGAGCGTTCTGCACACCGCAGAACTCGCCGGCTATGCGGCAGGCAGCTGGACATGGCCTGGGCGTCGTTCTTTGGCCATGTCTTTTCGTCTTCCTGTGCTTGCAAAAGAGCAGGCACTGCAGCAGCCGTGGCAAAGACGCCAAAAACAAGAGCCGCGAAGCACATACAGTTTAGGCAAGATGACGGCCCCACTTCCCAGGGCCTACCTGTGCACTTTTTTGAGCACTTTTCTGCGCTAAAGTTTGCTTATCACGGTCGAAAATGGGCGCCCGGTGAATTTTGGGGTGAATTTTGAAAAAGCCGTGGGTGAATTTTGGCCCAAGGTGCCTATTCAAAATTCGCTAACGCACGAGAAACTCCGGGTTTTGGTGCTTCAAAAAAGTTTCGCCAAAACAAAAAGCCCCAAAATTCACCAAGAAGATTCCTGACCTGGGAGTCACGTCAAAGAAGACTAGAGGACCCGACCAAGATGAGGCAGGAACACAGCTGGGACGAAGTTACAGAGCAAAGCAGGCGATGCTAGCATCCATTGCAACGCGTCTCCAGATGTTCAGGCCGAGACAGCAACGACCCGTGACGCGACTTCTCTATTTTGAGATATTGAGCTACTGCCCCTGCCCCCCTTTCCAGGCATGGCCCTCCCTATCGATCCGCCACCATCGAGTCTGTGGACCAACATGGAGTATTGTGTTGTAATACCGGCGCCACAAGCCACCTGTGTTGCTTCTGCAGCCCACCAGCAGATGCCCCCCAACCCATGGACGAGATATGATACGACCACATTGACCGACAACGATGTGCAGTGTCCCCTAGTTCTACGAATTGTTACCGACCTTGACCTTGATTTTTGGAAGCACTTATTGGTATTTTCTTGAACAAAAGAATGCAGCAAAACGAAGAAAAGGCACATAAACATATGCGGCTCCTCATGATTTTATTCGCTACGGTCAAACCGCGAGTTGTTGTACCACCAGCATTTACATCTAGGTTTCTATACTGATTGAATGATTTACTTTTTCCACCTTTCGTGTCTGTTTCTTTTTTTTATCTACCACTTGACCCAGCAAGGATTTGACAGTCACATCAGCCGAACGTCCCTCCACCGCCGAAGCCGCCAAATCCACCACCACCAAAACCGCCGAAACCACCTCCTTTGCCGCCCTTGCCTCTTCTGCCGAAAGGATCTCCGAAGGGGTCTAACGGATCTAGTCTCGGACCTTTAAGTCCCTTCCCCTTGCCACCCCCGCGGCCGTTGCCACCCATCGGATCTAAATCGTCTCCTCCGAACAGTGGGTTATTCAAATCGGGGTCTCCGATCCCGGGGTTATAGGGGTTTGGGCGTGGATCGATGCGTAGCGGATTATTTCCCGGTCCTCGTGGGGGTACAACGCCAAACAAATCTCTCTCCGCGTCCGGATTTCTCGGGTACGGGACATTTGGTGGAGGTCTTGGGTCGGCCAGGGGGTTTCGCCCGTACGGGTCGTCACCGGCGAGCGGATCCGGGACCCCGAACAAATCGCGCTCGGCATCCGGGTCTCGAAAAGCCGGTGCAGGGTTGAAGGCGCCTAGTGGTATATGAAAATTTAAATTTTTGGGATGAACATTTAAACTTGACGATCGAACAAGACATTGCTTCATCACGTTTACGTTGGTTCACCGGGTCCGGGGCCCCGCTCTAAAAATACTTACATGCACTTCTCGAAGAGCCCCATCAAAAGCGAAGAAAAAAAGCACTATACCTCCCCGCGCCGGTCCTGGATCAAAGGGATTCACCGGGTCGTACCATATCCCGGGAGGTACGATCGGTCCTTGACCCTTCCCACCTCCCTTCCCTGGCCACCAGCCCCCTCTCGGCGGCGGCGGCCATTGCACCCGATTTCTCTCCATTTCCTCGAAATGGCTTCGCGTCCGCTCCACCAACTTCCGCTCCGTCTCCGCCCGGCCCGCGAGCGTCTTCGCGGCGCGTTCGCACGCGCTTTTCCACTCCTTGGGGGGGACGTCCTGGTCGGAGGAGCAGAACGAAGAACTCGCGGGATCCGACAGTCGCGCCTGGGTGCGCAGCTCGTTGACGGCGGTTTCGGACAGGTTCGCGGCGTAGAGGGCGTACTTGCAGGTTTCGGGGCCGGACAAGTACCGGTCGAATTGATCGAACACGTTTCGTATGAACTGCAAAAGTATCGCACTCGTATAAATGCATGACAAATTCCCTCAGCATGAGAAATAAAATTTGTGATGCGAATTCACTTTGAGCAAAAAATTTGTAATGCATGACTGCAATACGAGTACGATACTTTTGCACAGGATATTTCGCCAGACAAAATTCTGCATGTGCAGGGCCACGCTGCACTGGGTGTACACCAGTTTGCTGGCCTTCTCGACCCGCTATCCTGTGTAAAAACGTCCCCACCCCAGAGTTGTCACGCAGATTTACCATGACAGGAACATTTGTGATGCGCAACCCCATGACAGGCATTTTCAATCGTGTTTGGGAACTTGTGATGCTGTAAACAGGATGAGAAGGTCGATTTGTGATGCGGCTTTCCTTGCTAACTTGCACTACCTTACGGACTGAAACTTGTCATGCGTGACTCCTCAAACTCCTAGGTTTGTGTTGCAAAATCCCCATCCTGACTCTGGTGTGGGTACGTTTTTACTCAGGATACCCGCCCAAGGGACTTCACGTCAAGGAAAGCCAGCACGGTGTCCACAATCTCTGCCGGTAAGTTCTCAAATTTCGGCACGACGAGCCCGTAAAAATACGGGTAGATCACACTGTCGTGGACCTGTAGTGTGATGTATGAATGTTAAACTAAAAAAACTGTATTGTCAATGAAACTGCTCGGTATTGCTTTGTAGTTGTCATTGTTGACTACACGCACGGGCACTGAGCAAAAACCCGAAATGTTCACATGATGCCCGAGGTGGTTTTACGACGATGAGAACCAAGATGAAACAAGCCGGAGGTAGTATTCTTTTTCTACATTTTCTTTGTACCAGCTTCTTCACGGTTTCAACGCTGTTGTTGCAGCTTTGGGTTCTGTTGTTGCCGACTTGGCTTTGCCCCGCAGCTACGTCCACCTTTAGTAACTGCTGGCCCTGGCAGAAGACCAATGCCGTGTTCCCCGAAGTCAAAAACATCAGTTCGAAGGTGCCCCGCCGCGCCTCGTACTTTATGCGCGTCAGCGACTCCGACGTCTCCAGGGTTTCTGGCGGCGCGCGCATCAACCCGGTCTGCAGGCTCGCGCGGTGCATATCAAATGCAAAAATGTCTGGGCCTGGAAGAATGCAAGTTTATCATGCTTGTCTGGCATGACTCGAGAATCTGCGTTGCATAGCCACGAAAAGGCCCTCTTACCTGTCATGCAAAAACGCAGTTTGCCAGCATGCGGAATAGATACGAAAGACATGGCAGCCAAAAAATTTGTCATGGTGCGTAGCTGCGCATTGCAGTGCGTTTATCATTCACTTTTAGCATTACAAGTCTCCAGACCCAGACAAATTAATTTGCAATCCATAGTGCACCAGATCGAACACTTCGCGTGGCGTGGTCACTGGCGGCGGCTTATCCAAGTAGATAAAGTCCCCACCCCATATTCAAAAGACGATTTGTGTTGCTGGATTCCTGTACACAAATGAACTTTGTATTGCAGCAAGAGCTTGTCGGCATTTTCTAAGCCCATTTATTGGGTACGCATCCGGCTAGCAGCTGAGCATGAGCAACAAGTCTGACGTAGGCGGAAACGCATGACAGACTCGCTGTACAATGCGCCACACGCGTGCCGTTTGCCTTGCACCCAAGACAAGCCTGATTTGTGGTCACAAATCAGCATCACAAATTTCCTTTTCGATATGGGGAGGGGGGATTTTTCCATACGATACGGCTGTTCTTCCGCGGGCCTGAAAGATGAGGACGCTGAGGTCTGTGGTCCTCTTCCCCCTCCGCGTGAAGATGGCACGAAAGAGGCACTGCTGGAAGAAGAAGACGTGGCTGCGCTTCCTCTGGTGGCATTATCTCCAACTACAACTTGATCCTGCTGTGTGATTATGTGCTGTGCGACTTTTCTGTCGCCGGCGTCCACCTCCATCGGAACTACTACTCCTTCGGGCTGTTCGTGCGCAGCGGGGGCGGGTGGTCCTGGTCTCCTGGTACCGCCACCCACCAATAATTCACTTGGCGGCTCAATTTTCATTCTCTTCGGGGAAGACTCAATTTTCACCGGACTGCTCTCGCTGGTTGATGTGGCTTGCGGTCGGTTATTCGTTGTCGCGGTGGCCGAGTTGATGGCCGAAGTTGTACTAGATGCGGCGACTCCCCTGGTGGTTGTACCTTGCACGGCAGCAGTCTGAACTACCGCGCCACCTCCTACAGCAGCCCAGGCCACGGGCTCGGTGCTGCCTGTGAGTCCGTACGCTTCGCGGAGGGAGTTCCATGTCAGGGTCAGCAATCTGATCTTTTCCACCGTCGCAGGACCGTAAATGGGCATGGGCTGCAGCGCCTTGTCACGCAGCGCGAGTACTCTCGGTCTCGCGTCCGCAATGGTTTTCTGCGCACCGTCAGCAGCAGCGGCGAGGTCGCCGCTCAACAGGGCAGTGAGCTTCTTTAGCTCCGTCGCCATTGTGTTGACGATGTCTCACCTCGAAATAGTAGGAATCGCGCAAAAATAAATATGTAATAGATGTATGTGATCTTCACATGGTAAAAAAGAGGACTTAGAACGTTTTGCGAGCGAGAGGACGAAAGGGGTACTAGTACAGCACGATCTTATGCTTCTTACGATGGGTAGACGTGAGATTCTTGCGACATCGACATCGCCGTAAAACTGGGGGGCGGGGAGCTTTTTGTGTCTTGAACCTGAACGATTAGAAACTGCAACTTTGCTCGACTCGCCGGCTACAGGTGCCAAGATAAGTAGCAGTTAGTTGTTGAAAAAATCGTTTGCGTTTCATCAGCCCACCTCCTAACCTAACATGCGAGGCAGTCCGGATCTCTTTCATGTTTGCCCCAAGAGAGATCGCGATCCTGTTTGATGTTCTCCATTGTACTTATCCTCGTCCCTCGTATGAGAGCACAATAATAATAGAAATACCAATCACTGTGAAACCAGACATACATCTGCAGTCATGGCGAAAACCAGACCGAATTATACAACTCATAGATGATGGTCATGATCACGTTGCAGAATCTTACAAGGAGAATCTTCACTGAAGATTGATGGAGAGGGAGAACACACCAAGTACAACTGCGAGTCATTCACTACATGTACATGTTGTACATTGATATTACACGGGGGTCGCTTGTTGAGGGCCCATCATCAAATCGCTTCAGTTGTCGCTTCAGTTTTACAACTTTTGAAAAACCCCAATGCGTGATCTGGGTCCCCATCAAATTATGTCGTTTTTGGAAGAAGAAGTGTGTCACTTTCCATCACCAATTGATGATTTTGGTCGCGAAAATGAAGCTGACCATGAGGAAAAAAACCACGACGCTGACCGCGAACAGGAACACCTGCGTGAAGAAGCCCATCTTGCTGCTCCACAGCATGTCCCGCGCCGTTTGGTTCTTGGCCTGCAGGCTGTCCGTCCGCTTGTCAAAATCTTCGTTGATTTTGTCCAGCAACTGGTTGTCTTCCTGCAGCCTCCCGCCAATACCGTGCGCAATCCCCACCATCTGCTCCACGGAATTCGCTACCGTTGCCAGCATCTCCTCCCGCTCGGCCTCGTCCAATTTTTTCTCGTCATCTACTCGATAGGACGAGGCGTTCGGCGTCGACGGGGCAGTGCTGAGCGCATCATGTACTACACCACTGCCTTTCATTGCCGTTGTTTTCATATTCGAGCCGGAGGTCGCAGAAGTTGCAAGAAGCCTCTGCTTTCGATATTCTTGGAGCGACAGACTGCTACTCACCACTTCTGCAACCACAGCAGGGGGTGAAGCTGAAGAAGAAGATCTATTCCCGGTTGTCGTGGCTGCTATTCCTATTATGTCTACTCCATCACTTGTTATTTCAGTCCCCGGCTTTTCTGTCGCAAAGCTCTGCAAGGTGTCAAAGTCGCTTTCTACGCCACTGCTTCGAGCAGGTGCACTGGCAAACTCATCGCTTGCAATAATTATATCCGCTTCATCCGCATCATCAACATCATCTGTCAACAAACCAGTCTTGCTATTCCTGCGGGAGGACGACGACGCCCCGCTTGTTATCAGCCCGACTTGCTGCAGCTGCTCTTGATGTTGCGATCGAGTTTTCAAGTGCTGCAGCCGCTGCGCTTCCCAGCGGGAAATCCGCTCCTCCACCTGCTTGCGCTGGGGCCCAAGGGGCATATCCTGTGCAAAAGTATCGCACTCGTATTGCAATCATGCATTACAAATCTTCTTTCTAAGGTAAATCTGCATTACAAATTTTATTTCTCACGCTGAGGAAATTTGTGATGCATGTATACGAGTACGATACTTTTGCAATGCATAGGGCAAACAAGGCAACAATTCCTGCACGAAGGACTGCACATAAACGTCCACCGTAATCTCGTCGCCCGCAGTTTCTGGAAACTGCTCCAGGTAGCGCAGGAAGCCGGTAAAATCTTCCACCGTGTCCCTCTGCGCCCGCAGCGGGTCGCTGAAGCTGCCGTTTGGCAGGTGCTGCTGATACGCCGGAGCGACGGATGCCATGATTTTTCTGCTCGCGTGTGTCCTCTCTATTTGATCATGCGAGAAATGAACCCTGTGCGTGGTCCCGTATACTTACTTAGGCTGAAGCTCCTGATGGACTTAGATTTCGCGAAAATTCTCTAAACCGCCATACCTGAGGGACGAGTGCCATCCATTCAAAAACTCAGCCCTTATAATTTTTGATTACCGACGAACAGACTTACAAAAAACGCTGGCTTGCCGGAAAGTAGGCGACTAAAACACTTGTCGGCGTCACTGATGTTCAAAGTGTACATGGTTCACTTTCACTTTTGCTTTTCCAATTCCATCTCCATGCATACAGATTTATAGTTCGGAGCAAATTTTTTCTCCTTGTTTTCATTTTCACATTCACACGATAAAACGATATAGGATACAACCAAGATAAGTGGCTCTTGTCCTCATGCTCCCAATATACAAGAGCTCTTCATCGAAATATGAAAATGAATAGCATTAGCCTATAGCAATATGTGTATGTGATCGACCACGATCTAATATATAAAGTGTTAAGACTGTATCTGTACTGCACACTCGGATTTTTCATCCGAGAGTATGCGAAAAATAGATCTTCATCATTTACTGACGATATCGATATTACCGATCATTAAAATCATTGCAATCTCGTGACTGAATCAAACGCTTCCTTTCAGTTTCAATGTTAAAGAAAGAATGTATGGACTGGTACATTCAGGCTATTTCAGGAGATGAATCTGGACCTTTTCTCCCGACTGCATGGCCAGCACGCAGTCGTCTGTAGTAGTATTTGTAGCCTGCTCTACTACTTTTTACATTCTGAAGTAAAGTTGTATAATCCTCGCCGCCACAGGTACTTACTTCTACATCTACTTCCTGATCCTGTCAATAATATGATCCTATAAAGAGCCACGCGACAGTGCCACGGAATTTTCCGACCGTAACGCACACCAGAGGCGATCGAGTGTGTCCTGCGAGTTCTCGCCCTCTTCCAAAGCGTCCAAAATTCCCACAATTGTTTTTTGCCGTTCGCGGTCGTAATCCGCACGGCTGTCCACGCTGGCGTGCAGCATAGACGCTGTGGTTTCCCGCAGCTTATCCACTCGTCCGACCTCGGTGCTTCTGCCATGATCCCAAGCGGAGGTTGTTGTAAAGCGATTGTCTGTTCCCGTGTTGAAGCGTGCTGCAAAATGAGGATCTCCTGTCATCTGATCCCCGGGCACCATCGGGTTGAAGAACGTGACACCGCGCTTACTCCTACCCGCACCACCAGCAGCCCCGCCGTCACGAAACAAGTTGTGGTGGCCGCTGCCGCTCCGCGCCGCCGACGTCAGGCTACTACTCGCGCCGACACGCACCGATGTGCGCCTGCTGGTGCCGCAGTGTTGACCACCTGCCTCAGTCGTAGCACGTCCTCCGCCAGGATTAGCCACTAAGGTGCGCCGCACCTGGAAATTCAACCCAGTAGATCCGGCGGATTTATTAGTACTTGCAACTACGGCCGTCGAGCGGCTTTGTGCCATGGTCAAGGGCGCGATATCATCGCGCAACTCGTCCGAGTCGTCACTAGTACCCTCCTGCAGCTCCAGCGAGCGCTTGTTCCCGCTGATCCTCTTCGTGGTTCGGGATAAAACCACCAGCGCTTGCCGCGGCGCGGTGAAGAAAGGAAGTAGTGCTACTTTCGCAAGCTGTTTTTGAAACCAACTGGCAGGATCGGCGAAAAAGAACGATTTGTCGCGCCTTTGCTGCAAGTCACTGCTCAGGGTTTTCATCCACGCAGGAGTGCGCGAAGAGTCTCCATGCGACGACGCGCGGTGCGACACGGCTGCGTCCTCCGCAGCCTTCATGTGCGTATGAATTGCAAAAGTGTCTGGGTCTGGAAGGTGGCAACTTGTCATGGTAAATCTGAAGAATGCAAAAATCTGTATTGCATGAGTGCCAAAAGCTGTCCACTTTTGACCAAGATGGACAGGAGTTTCTCATGCAGGTGGATGGGCATTGCAGAGACTTCGCAGAGTCTGTCGTGCTAAGTCCCGCATTCCAGACCACTCAGGGCTCATGGAAAATCTGCATGACAAGTTTACACTTTTCCAGACCCAGACATTTTTGCACTTGATAGTGCGCCGCCAGGTCCGATTCCAAGCTCGTGATGTTTACGTTTTCAAACTCCCCCTCGTCCTCCTCCAGGTCGTCGGCAAAACTGCGGTCCTCGACCACGTGGCAGTTTTTCGCCCGGTCGCGCTGCCGGTACACCCAGCCGCAGAAGATCAGGATGAAGAGCACGTACACGCCGAACAGGAACCGGATCAACCAGTCGCGCAGGATCAAAAAGTCGCCTTGTGGGCCCTGGACCCCGAACAGCGCGTGCAGGCCTCCCTGCAGAAAGTTCACGAGCAGCGTGGCCAGAATGAAAATGTCCAGGTAGGTGAGGTACCCGATGTTGCCAACACTCTCGCCGGCGCTCGACTTGAAGGACGCGCATCCTGAGTAAAAACGTCCCCACCCCAGAGTCAAGAAGGGGACTTTGCAACACAAACATAGAAGTTTTGGGATTCACGCATCACAAATTTCAGTCCTCAGTGTAGTGCAGGTTAGCAGGGAAAAACGCATCACAGATCCATGTCCATCTGCTCTTCCTGGTTGATGCAGCATTACAAATGCCAAAACACGACTAGAAACGCCTCTCATGAAGAGGCGCATTACAAATGCTCCTGTCATTGCGAATCTGCATGGCAACTCTGGGGTGGGGACGTTTTTACAAATGATAACACGTTGGTCAGAATCACCATCACCACCACTGCGAGCCCGTCCCGCGGGTTGTCGATCGCGCCCAGCCGCTCCTCCACCCAGGCGAAGCTGAAAAAGCCGAACAGGTATGGATTGCAAAAATGTCTGGGTCTGGAAGATTTCAACTTGTCATGCTGTCTTTGGATTCTACAATAAATCTGTATTGCATGAACGGCAAGAGAGGTCCAGTTTTTGTCATGGCCAGAGGGCATTTCTGATGCGGTATAGGCATCAGGAAGCTCTCATAAGATCTGTGATGCTAGGGCATGCATTACATGCATCATGGATCATACAAAATATGGGACGCTGGTCGTATCAGATTGCGTAAGTTGTAAAATCAGATTACGAAATGCAATCAGGTTACTGAAATCAGATTACGAGACGCAATCAGGTTCTACCTAAGCGAACGCCAGGCGGCCCCAGCGGCCCGCCGGAATCAGTGGCGCGCCCAGCCGACCAAGGGGCTGGCCGACGGGATCAACGAGAACCACGACGGGGCAAGAACACAGCCAGACGAGCGGGCAAGCCGCGGGGGCGCATTGACTGGCGCAGCAACGAGAAGAGGGAGGCGTCGGCCAGGGCAGCCGCCGCCGGCCGGCCGGCCGGCGGCGGCTGCCCTGGCCGACGACCAGAAACCCCAAACCCTAGACCCCCAACCCTAACCCAGACTCCTGATTTCACTGATATTCTGAATTCAGTAACTTGATTGCACAACTAACCTGATTGTAATAATAAATCTGGGTCATGGTGCGTTCCACGTACCCAAATTCCACGTACCCAAATCTGCGCACCCAAATGGGTACTGTTTTTGGGCACCCGTGGGTGCCCAAATCCCGGCGGTACGAGGTGGCGTTGCGCGTTCCAGACGAATTGTTCAGAACTTTTATCTTGCGATTTTTGTTTTGTTTTTTCAGGATCGCAATAAAAATAAAATTTCAAAACTTCGCGGCCCAATCCGCGAAATGTTAAAATTTAATTTTTATTGTCAAGAAAAAACACTTCTCTCGTAGCGCAAACTTTGCAGAAGAGTTGAATTCTATTGCAATAAAAATAAAATTTAGAAACTCCGTGCCTTGAGCCGCGAAATCGGAGCGGAAAACCCACCCGGGTGCCGTTGGTTTTCTTTCTCATTCCTACCAACTAGACACGGCAGGCTTCCCAGCCTGGAAACCCTAAACGGGGCACGGGGGCGGAAGGACAATGGCCCGGGCAGGCTTCGGAGCGGAAAACCCACCCGGGCGCCGTCTTCTTTTTCATTCCTACCACCTAGGCGCGGCACGCTTCCGGGCCCGAAAACCCTAAACCGGGAAGGGGGGGCGGGTAGACAATTACCAGGGCAGGCTTCATCGGAGTGGAAAACCCACCCGGGCGCCGTTCTCTTTTTCAATTCATTCCTACCCCCGCGGCGCGGCAGGCTCTCGAGCCCGGAAACCCTAAACGGGGCACGGGGGGCGGAGAGACAGCTACCCGGGCAGGCTTCGGAGCGAAAAACAAGCCCAGGCGCCTTTTTCTGTTTCATTCCTACCACCGAGGCGCGGCAGGCTTCCGAGCCCGGAAACCCTAAACGGGGCGCGGGGGGCGGGAGGACAGTTGCCCGGGCAAGCTTCGGAGCGGGAAACCCGCCCGGGCGCCGTTTTCTTTTTCATTTCTATCACATAGGCGCGGCAAGCCTTCGAGCCCGGAAACCCTAAACGGGGCACGGGGGGCGGGAGGACAGTTACCCGGGCAGGTTTCGTAGCGGAAAACCCGCCCGGGCGCCGTTTTCTTTTTCATTCCTACCACATAGGCGCGGCAGGCCTTCGAGCCCGGAAACCCTAAACGGGGAGGGGGGGGCGGGGGGACAGCTACCCGGGCAGGCTTCGCGGCGGAAAACCCACCCAGGCGCCGTTTTCTTTTTCATGCCCACCCAACAAATAGGCGCGGCAGGCTTTGGGGCCCGCAAACCCTAAACGGGGCACGGGGGGCGGGGAGACAGTGCCCCTAGCAGGCTTCGGAGCGGAAAACCCAAGACGGCGCCGCTGTGTTTTTCATTCCTACCAACTAGACACGGCAGCCTCCCGGGCCCACAAACGGACCCCAAACGGGGCACGGGGGCGGAAAGGCAGCGACCCGGGCAGGCTTCGTAGCGGAAAACCCGCCCGGGCGCCGTTCCCTTTTTCATTCCTACCCCCGCGGCGCGGCAGGCTCTCGAGCCCGGAAACCCTAAACGGGGCACGGGAGGCGGAGAGACATTTACCCGGGCAGGCTTCGGAGCGGAAAACCCACCCAGTCGCCTTTTTCTGTTTCATTCCTACCACCGAGGCGCGGCAGGCTTCCGAGCCCGGAAACCCTAAACGGGGCTCGGGGGGCGGGAGGACAGTTGCCCGGGCAGGCTTCGGAGCGGGAAACCCGCCCGGGCGCCGTTTCCTTTTTCATTCCTACCACATAGTCGCGACACGCCCTCGAGCCCGGAAGCCCTAAACGGGGCGCGGGGGGCGGGAGGAAAGTTATCCGGGCAGGCTTCGGAGCGGAAAGCCCGCCCGGGCGCCGTTTTCTTTTTCATTCCTACCAAATAGGCGCGGCAGGCCTTCGAACCCGGGAACCCTAAGCGGGGAGAGGGGGGCGGGGGGACAGCTACCCGGGCAGGCTTCGGGGCGGAAAACCCACCCAGGCGCAGTTTTCTTTTTCATTCCTACCAAATAGGCGCGGCAGGCTTTCGAGCCCGGAAACCCTAAACGGGGCACGGGGGGCGGGGAGACAATGCCCCAGGGCAGGCTTCGGAGCGAGCGGAAAACCCAACAAGGCGCCGCTGTCTTTTTCATTCCTACCACCTAGACGCAGCAGGCTTCCGGGCCGAGAAACCCTAAACGGGGCACGGGGGCTGAAAGACAGTGACCCGGGCAGGCTTCGTAGCGGAAAACCCGCAAAGGCGCCGCTTTTTCTTTCATTCCTACCACCTAGGCGCGCAGGCTTCCGAGCCCGGAAACCCTCCACGGGGAACGGGGGCCGGATAGACAATTACCCGAGCAAGCTTCGGAGCGGAAAACCCACCCGGGCGCCGCTCTCTTTCTCATTCCTGCCTCCTAGGCGCGGCAGGCTCCCTAGCCCGGAAACCTTAAACGGGGCGCGCGGGGCGGAAAGACAGTTTCCCGGGCAGGCTTCGGGGCGGAAAACCCACCCGGGCGCCGCGTTCTTTTGTTTGTTTTCATTCCTATCAGCTAGGCGAGGCAGGCTCACGAGCCCCAGGCCTAAGCGGGGCACGGCTGGCGGAGAGACAGCTACCCGGGAAGGCTTCGGGGCGAAAAACCCGCCCAGACGCCTTTTTTTTTGGTAGCGCGGGGCCCCTTCCCTAGATGCCCCCCTCCCCTAGATGCCATGTGGAGCCCGGCGCCCTAGATGCCATGTTGAGCATGGCCCCTCGTTCGCTCCTTGCAGGAGTTTTGGGCCCCCTAGATGCCATGTTCGTTGAGCATGGCACCCGTGTCAAGGAATCATGACAACCACAGTACGCCGCCCTCTTTCCACAACAAGTACCCCCAGGCCAAAAATAAAAGGAACGACATTTAGTGCACTGCATTGCAAACCGCCGCGCATTTTCTAGGCGGGCGCGAAAGGGCGATCCGCTTTACGGGACCGGCGGGAAGATCGAGCGCGGGACAGGAATGTAGAGGAGCCACCCGGGGGGTGGACCAGTGTGAAACAACGCGAGGCAAAGCACAGCTATGCTCTGCGGTCTCGCGCGTGCTGCGCAATGGCTTTGATAACGAGGGGGAGGACGAGAACGACAGGCGTTGAGTCTAAAAATCTTATTTTTATTGGAGGAGTGGATGCGAAATTCGTCAGCTATATAATTTTAATCCGCGAATTTTCAAAATTTAATTTTTATGGGCCGGAGAAAGCGAAACTGTCGGAGACGTGGTTCGCGAGGAAACAAGGCAAATCCGCGAAAGTTGGAAATTTTATTTTTAATTTTTTCATTGAAATTGAAAAAGCGACAACCTTTTTTGCAGTCCCAAATGTGTCTTGTAGCGTGGGGGTTCACGTCCGGAAAGAGGGCTCATTGGTTTGGGTGCGTGGTTTTGGGTACGTGGATTTGGGTACGTGGATTTGCTTGGGTACGTGGATTGCCAGGATACCATAAATCTGATTTCATTTCGATAATCTGATTCGAACCGATGAAGCCCAAAATATGCATCACAAGTCGCGCATTCTTCCAGACCCAGACATTTTTGCATTTGATAACAGGGAGGTGAGGACGAGCAGAAAAAAGTAGTTCCACACAAAGGGGACCCACTCCCGCGCGATCCGCCACTGGCAACGATGCAGCACGCCCACCGGGAGGCGCTCCACCGACACGTCGAAGCTGTCCGGACACAGAAACCAATCCGGCATGCGGAACGCCCACTCAAAGGACCGGTCAAGCTCCTCCTCGGGGATCTCGTCAAATTCCCACGTGTCACTGTCCTCGCAGTACAGGTCAATGCTCAAGTCCTGGACGTCAAACGGAAACTGGCGCGCATCCATGTTGCTCTGCATGGTGCCGTGGAAAATTTTCTGCGAAATCGCCTCGTAAATCACCCGTGTAGTGTATCCTGAGTAAAAACGTACCCACGCCAGAGTTGTAATGCAGATTTGCAAAGACAGGAGGACTTGTAACGCGCATCCGCATGAGAGCCATTTCCAAACGTGTTTTGGAATTTGTGATGCTGTGAACAGGATGAGCAGATGAATCTGTGATGCGGCTGCACTTGCTAACCTGCACTATATTACTGCAGAGTGCAACTTGTCATGCGTGACTCACAAAACTCCTAGGTTTGTGTTGCAAAATCCTCATCCTGACTCTGGTGTGGGTACGTTTTTACTCAGGATATAGAAGTCTGGGCAGCAGCCGGCTTGTGGTCCTTCTGCTTGCTACTTTTGCCGATATTCTTTGTCGCAGAACCCTCCCCGGCTGTGGGGGCTTGGGCAGATGAAAAAGGATGGTCTTGATGCAGTTGCTCCGTTCCAAGCATCTTCCCTGAATGCTCTTGCACTTGCAAAGGCAATGCTCCTGCTGCCTCGTCACCTCCAAGGACAGGAGGAGCGTCGGTACTACCAGGTGCTGCTGCTGGGGAAGAAGCTATTGGATTCATAATCTTGGTTTGTCGCGCTGTCACGGTTGGTCGGCGAAAAGATCCCGCGCTGTTCAGCTGTTCTGCAACTTCCACTTGCAACCGTCGCGCAGGAAGAACCGCAAGAGCACCACCAGCGCTCCGTGAGGTCGTGTGCAGCTCCGGATTTTGTTCGCCACCCGAATGTCGCGACAGCACCTTGCTCAGGGATTGACTCTCACTGGGCCGCGGGGACGACTCCAAAAATTCTTCTTCTTCTTCGATAACTTCTGTGATGGTCCGTTTCCACGCAGTCCACTCGGTGTCCACTTCCTGCAAGTTGTGGCAGTTTTTGTACAGGAACTTGGGCATCTCGAAGGGACACTTTTCCCGGCGCCGCGCTGCTAAGAAACCGCCCCCGCTGGTACTACTGTGGCCAAGCTCCTTCTGCATGTGGAGCCACTCTTCTTCCGATACCTCTCGATGCAACCGAAGCTTGCAAAAAACCCGATAGGTCTCTTCCGGCAGATTGATCTGGCTCACGCGAAACGGGTGGAAGCTAAGCCGGACCTTTTTACGCTGGTGGTGTCCTCCATCAGCAGGTCCGAATGGTGCAGCTGCTAGACCGGCTTCGGTCCAAATGGAGCAATCTTCACTCCCGCGCGAGTCGCGCGGGAGTGAAGATTGCTCGTCGCCAACCGTACTAGCGGGTTTGGTGTTGGTCAAGGCGTCGAGGACCTCCGCACCGCCGGGGACTTCCTCGAACAACGTCTCGTTTTCTCGGACCGCCATGAGTTTCGAGCCCGCACGTGAAGTAATATGGTCTAAATCAGCTTGCATCGAAGCACGGGCTGCTCCCTCCTTAATATTCTCGCTGCATTGATGCTGCAGCCCACTTTGATCTTCGCTGGGGACGGAGGGATGAGCGGGTGGACCGGGACGAGATTCCTGTTCTCGCTGCGGAATAGGGTCCAAAAGCGTCGGAAGCATTTGCTGGTGACCGCCCGGCGCTCCTCCTCCAGAGCCGCCACGACCTATTCAAGAGCTACAAACCATCTGCACACTCACTTTTGCATTTGCGCACAGCGCACTTACTTGAGAATTACAAAAAGTTCTGTCTATGCGAAAACTTGATGCTGGACGATATGCGATAATCAACAACAAACTTGCAAAAAGGTGACTTTTGTGATGGTGATTTCTTGTTGCATACCACCTCCACCGTGACCAGTGCCTGCCCCCATGACTGGCGTCGCGGCCAGGGCCACACTCGAGTCGAGGTCGCGGCTGTGGGTCTTCACCAGGCTTTTGTCAGGCGCCAACCATTGCTGTTGCGCTTCCTTGTGGAGGTGCACAGCTGCCATCACGCCGATGCCCGTTGGCTTCAAGCCGATGTGGTTTCGCACGCTCGGAATCGCGGCAATGGGTTTCATAGACATGTGGAAGAAGTTGTCCTGAAGATGAAAAGTTTTTTCGTGCAAGCAAGCAGTCAGTGGTTGTGGTTCTGCTTCTGCTTCTGCTTCTGCAGTGAGGTTATAATTAGCAAAGATAGATGACATGTTGACGTGTGCTTGATTTCATTGTTCAGGTATAGCATAAAGCATTTGGTTCGAGAAATGGGTCACTTTCAAAATACTGCAGCCCCGCTTATGATGATGAAAGAATGAGGCATAGCAATAACTGCGGTTTTGGTCCTTTCCTTTTCCATGAAACAATAAAAATCCAGTACTCGACGCGGATTCATGTCCAGTACTCGACGCGATTGCCCTGCAGGTTTTCGCAGCCCGCTTTCCTTCCTTTCATTGCTTCGCTGGAAAGGCGCGGAGGTGTGCGGCTTCTCATCCCGTGGTCGGGGGATCTCAAGAACATCCCGCACCGGAGATGCCGTGCGGCTCTTTGTCTTTTTCATCCCCGTTGATGCTGTTGTACAACCGGGCGCGGAACCGTGCCTGTTCGCATCCCGCTGTATAAAAATATGTTGCCCATGCGCCGGAACGCCGCGTTTAGAAGAATTTTGGTTCGATGCCGATGCGACCGACCGTTTAGACTCGTGGTTCGACGACCAGAAACTAATATTGCTGATACTAAACATCTTGATTTAATATTTTATTTCCAGCGAGGACGACAAAGAGAGTAGTGAAAGGAGACTGCCTCGGTCGTGCAAAATAAGTACGACCTGACCACCTCGGCAGCGCGACCTCCTGCTGCGTGATCACAACACGAAATAAACACACCTACTTCACACTAAAGCCAGAGGACACCTCGCTGACTAGGAGTAGGAATTACCTATGTCAAAGGAGACGAAGGCGATGATTTTGATTACCATTCCATTTCCTGCTATAATTCTGATGCGCCCGAAAGTAATCTTGGTGGAGAAACTTACTACCTCAAGCACTGAAAAAACATGTCGAGGCCAAAAATTCTACAACTTCCTCTGCAGTTACAACCCTCTACAAAGAAATGCCAGATTCTCTCCCCAGCCCCAGGTGCAGTGGATGCAGTTAGACCGATAGGAGGACATATACATCTTCCTGGACAGCATCCTATTGTTTCGACTTTACTCTGAAAGAACCTACCATGGATCAGACAGAGACTCCTGCGGCACGAAAAATCTCGACATTTAGGACGACAGCGACATCCAAAAAAAAAGGAAAAAAAGCGCAATGCAAATGCTTTTTACAACAAAAGAATCTGGTGTTTCTACTTTTGAAACACGGGCCGCTGAAACACGATGCCAACTCAACGTCAATCTGATTCGGATTCCGAATTATCAAACCGACCAAATCCAAATCCAATTGGCATCGACGTCACGGACCTCAAAATAAAAAAAAACTCGAATTGCTGTTGCTCAGGTTCCGTGCATAATTGTGCTCTAAACTCAAGCATCCTATAGCGAGTAAGAAATGTCCTCGATGCAGATGTCCTCTTTTTTATTGGCCATACTCATTGTCCGCGTCATTCTACACTTCAGCCACCCACCTCAGCCTTCGACAGGTCATGATGCCACACCGGCCAGAGGGACTGGACGTCACACGGCGCACGGCACAGCGGACAACTCCGGTTCGCACTCACTACGAGGCGGAAAAGTCCGCCCCAGCCCAATTTTCAAAAATTTCAATATGTGGCTTTAGTAGTCCCGGTTAGAGGAGACAATCGGGAACGCGACCAAGCCAGTGGTCGCTGAATGCGGGGGCGCGCTTCGGGCGCTCCGCCTGCCTGGGCAGGGGCCAAGCGTCGCGCCGCGCCATATCCTTGCGCTCCTATTTGGCGAATGCGCATGGTGTGGCGCACTTTTGGGCGCCGACTTTCCTGGCCGTCGTATATTTGTGCGTGAATGCTTCACAATGTTTTCCAGAAAAGTCCGCCCCAGGACGAACAAGGAGGCCGAATCTGGTACCCGTCGACCCTGGGGCGGACTTTTCTTGATCGGGGTACTCAGGTCGGGATTGGCCTCTCCCAGAAAAGTCCGCCCCAGGCCGAACGGGCACTGCGCCAAGTGGTCGGTCGGAGAGGGCAAAAGAGGCGAAAAAACATGACACGGGGTCCCCGAGCCTCTGGGGCGCTATCATTAATTCAAGGCCAGTCCTGGACTGGCCCCATTTCACACTGCGCGCCGGGCGGGAAACTGCCTTTCCAAGCTGCGCGGGTTGGGGCGTACAAGTCGCCACGAAGTCAATAATGGGAGTCGATCTCGCGGAGAAGAATACCGAGACGCAGCAGCGACAAACGGGGCATGCTTTCCGTGCGAAAAGATCTCGCGCAATGAAATTTTTGAAAATTGGGCTGGGGCGGACAACTCCGGTTCGCACTCACCCACGAATAGGCACAATCCCAGCAGAAAGCGCATCGGCGGGAAAAAAAACTGCAAGTCAGAGGACTGTAGTTGTTATTTTGCCTTGTAGTTATTGGACCTTGCGCGTGCTGCCCCGCCTTCTTGGTTATGGTTTCGCATAGGCATGACAAAAATTACTGTTTTCTGTTTGCCTTCAACAGCTGGGCCGCGTTTGTGAACTACAACCAGCTTCCCGCAAAGGCGTGCCATGACAAGCAATTTGGCCCTATAGATACTTACTCTATTTCTTCGTCGAGCAGTTTTCTTCTGTCTGCAAAAGCGCGAGCCTCCATCAAATAAATGTATACAGAATGGTACTACATCGACATCCAGTGTACACCAATGACGCAGTATAATTCTCCTCGAATAACACGTGTCCACACTTAACGGACGTCGGTGCTCGGATTTCGCCAAAACAAATGTTGCAATCGATGCCGCCCGGCCGCGCCGTTCGTGGTGGTAGGGACGGTTTCTTGCGCAGTTCTTCTCTTCGCAGCAGTCCTGGTGCTGCAGTAGTGTTTCGTTCAAATTTCTCTACTGTAGAAGAAGTGCTGCCGTTCATTTCATGCAGATCTAGTCCGCCTGCCGCAGGAGCATCTATCGCTGGTTGACGATCATTCCTTTCGCTGCTAGAACGTGATTGTGACGTAGAATTAGCTGGTGGCTTCGAACCTTTTGCATGGATGATGCTGGTTTCAGCAGACAACATCCTGCTCTGTCTGTCTACTTCGTCTTCTTTTCCTTCGCTGAAGCTAACCCGGGGACCACTTTTTGTCGGATGTCTTGAAAGCACAATATCTCCTATTCGTCGCTTCATCTCCAGGATCACTCGCGGAACAAGCACCTCATGCATCGGCGGCGCGTTCTTGTACAGCCGACGTAGGTACAGCGCTACCTGCACGACACACAGCGCGCTAAGTGCGTAAAAGTACCGCTGGACCATCGTTGTCGGCTTATTAACATCATTCTTATCCGCTGCTGTCCTTCCCCGCCGTTCCTCGTATCCAAGCGAGCGCCGCCGCCAGCCGAGTAGCCGGTGCGGCAGACTTTCGTACATCCCGACAAGAAAGAAGGATGCACGGTTCAGCGTCAGCGCCAGTTGAAGTGCGTCATTGAGGAATTGACTTGTCCTCGGCGAGAGTCTTGATGCGCCCAGTACAGCAGGTAGAAGTTGGTTCGTCGCAACTTGCAATCCTGAGAGAAACACCCGGGAAAGAAATCCTGGCACGCGCTCCGCCCGAAAGAGATAATTATCTGGAGGCCAGCCACTACCGCTAGGCTTTCCTGTTTCATTCACTGGCGACCCAGGCCCGACTATTTCCGGTTCTAGTACTTCTCTCTGCCCCTGCTGAAGCTGATGTCGGTAGTTCCCGGAAACCGTAATATGCCGCGCAACCACTGGCGCCAGGTCCGCGTACTCTTCCCCGAGGGTGCGCGGTCCGGCCAGGAGGAGAAAATCCGCAAGCGCGTTGGCGACGCGCGGCAGGACGGCGCGGTACCGGTGGCACGTTTGGCTGCCAAAAAGGGTCTCCGCGAACTGGGCGAACCTCGCCCGGAATCTCTCCCGGTACTGCTCATCCTTCTGACTCGCCGCCAGGAGGTCGGTTGTGTCAGCATAGGGTGGGTACCAAATGGTCTTGTTATTTTCAAGTGCAGTCGAGTTCTTGGGTGGAATGAAGGGGGCACTAGAAGAAGAACTAGAACTAGACGAACTATCTGGCGCTATCTGCAACATGCTTCGTGATGGAAATTCATCGGCTAGGGGTTAGGTAGGCACACGATTTGATATTTTCGGTCAGCTAATGGTACTGCTTTTTGTTCTGCTTGTGGTGCAATATTTGCCGTTTGGCTTTGTACATTGTTTTTAATTTCATTTCCTCACAACTTGAACTTCGGGAGAAAAGTATAAAGTCAGACTTTTCCTGATAGATGAAGATCGCAACGCGAAACTTACGTCGAAGCCGCACCCGAAGCCCGCTGTCATTCATTATCTATACGCTACGTAGAGGAGCCAATGTGATCACGAATCGTGCGCGCGTGCAAAGCAAAAAAAACGCTTCAACAACCGTCATCAAAAGAAAGTCAATCTTCGACATTGCCTTCGTCATATTCGACAAGTTAGGGCTAGCGCGGAAGCGGATCTTTTCGCTTACTTTTGGTACGGCCTTCGTGGGGAAATAAGGGCTTTTGACGATGAACATCAGACAGTTGTTTTAAATCACTCGAGAAAAGACGCCGTGTGCATACTTGGGTTTTGCTTTTCCTTACTGCGTGCTTCACGCCGAGTGCTGCATCGTATGTTGCAGCGCCGGTGAGTCCTTTGTGTCCGTGTCTTTTTCTTCTGCTTGTTGAAATGGAAAAGCAAAAAAGAATTGCGAGTGCGCTTCTTAAGGTGAGCGGGAAAAGAAAAAAAGAAAAAAATTTCGTCAAACGCAACCGACTCTCGCCTTACTCACAACCCCTCCGTCAGCGAGGCTGGCTCCCCAAAATTTACCCCCATGCTCTGGTTGGTGCGCAGCCAATCGGCAAGCGGGATTCCGTCGACAACCGTCCCCACCTTCTTTGGATCAACAGTTTGCGTTTTCACGTCCAAAGGTGGATCGTGAACGTGGCGCCAGAATTTTCTCGCTGCCCCGAGCAAGCTGGCCTTTGCGGTGCGTGCGCGGTAGGCAGAGGCCGTGATTTCGTCGGAGAGCTTCTGGGTTAGGAGATCTCGAACCGGATCCGTAATCTCGCTGTCCACGTGGTCCTGCACGGTCTTCTTGATTCGAATACCAAACCCCTTTGCCTCCCGCATCCCCACACCGGCGGCCGTACGGGCGATTTCTCGTGCAAGTTTGGACTTCAGGGTGTATTCCCCGTCGGTCTTTTTTGCGGAGGATGCTGAAGATCCTGGAATAAAGGTCGAAAACGTGGAAGTAGAACGACTCGTCCCAGGAGGTGACGCGCTTCCACCAGCACTGCCGGAAAGAACCGAAGATGAAGCGCTGCCAGCCGGACCGGAGAAGGATCCAGATCCACGGGCACTAAAACCGCTGCTTCCACCAGCACCTTGTGGAATGATGTCTTCGCCGAAGTTTTCCCGGAGAACGCCCAAGGCCGTCGCAGTGCCACGGTTCGCAAGAGCTCGCTCCAGAGTGTGCTCGCGGCCCGCGAACTGCGCTGCGGACAGCCCCACCCCGGTCGGCGCGAAGGGGCGGATCGATTCACGCGGCTGATACTCGAAGGGACTGGAAAAGTAACCGCTGCCGGAAAAAGAAGATCCGGCACCGCCTGCGGAAAAAGCGCGTAATTCAGAAGAAGAGCTGCCAATCCGCCCTGCGCTTGCCCTCCTCGACACTGTGGCCGGGACCTCTCCTGCACTGCTTGCATTATCTAACGGCTGCGCGATGCTGTCGACCGAAGCTGCTCCTGTTGCTCCTTCCCCACCCGGTTCATCTGCTACTTCTGGCTGCTGCGCCAGCAACGCACCCAGAACATTTCTCAACGAGCTTCCGGCGGCTCGACGAGGCTTGATCTCTGAATCGCTCGAAAATGACCCGGAAGTAGAGGAGCCACTGAAGGACGATGCTGCAGACCCAGAGCTACCTGCACTCCCCGAGGACCACGTCACCAAGCTTCCCGGCACACCGGTGGCGATGAATTCTTCGCGATTTTGCAACCCCAATGGGACCAAGTAGTTCTGCAAAAAATGGTAGTGCACCAGTGCATCTACATCCTTTTCCGCGTTCTCGTTTTGCAGAAATTTGACACTGTTCTTCACAACGTGTTTCAGTTCGGCCTCCGCGCGCGCAAACAGGTCCAAGAGCTCCGTCCGCGCCCCGTGCACCGCCGCAATCGGCGCGCGGGCGACGGCGGCGTGCGCCTGTTGCAGGGCGGACTTGTACGTTTCGTCGAGAACCTATGCACAGAAAAAGATCCTCCCTCATCCATTTTTGCATGGCCAACACGTGACATGTTTCGCATGACAAATTGGACGAGGATGGGTCCTTTTTTGTGGATAGGACCAGCAAGGAGGCGCGCGCACTGGCAGTGACCACCTCGAGCGGCGTGCCGCCAAAGGGCGAGCTGATTACACAACAAGCCGGGACCGGAATCGCCGAGCTGCCGACAGACGGTGGTGAAGTAGATCCACCTGATGTTCCACCAGAGCCGCCTGACACCGAACTACTACCTGTAGTCGTTTTCACAATTCCTGCTCCACCGTTGGTCCCCCTATCTACTTCATCTCCCGGGGAAACAAGTGCGTCAGTGCTTCCCATTGCGGAACTGCTTCCAGGAGCCCCCATGATCACCTGCTCTCCAGTAGTTCCAGCACCGGCTGCCAAATCGTTCATATCAGGAGGACCTTGCTGCACGAGCTGCGTGTCTTCATCTCGCGGTAGTTGTACTCGTGCACGACGTCCGAGAACGCCGCCGGAGGACATAAACGAGCCGACAGGAGGTCTACTTCCGCCGGTAGATGTTGACCTCGCACTGCTACTACTACCCGAGAACAATAAATGCGCGTCGAAATGCTGACACAACTCCGAGACCTTCTTCCGTGCTGCCTGCTCCGCCTGCGATTGCAGGGTGGGATCGCTGGGAAGGACCGGCGGCGGCGTTGTTGTGGCGGCTACGACCACCGGCTTTTCCGGCGGGGGGCACTTCGGACAGGTCAGTTTCTTGCCGCACCCGTCATCCACCTCTTTGCCGCACTCCGCAGGGGTGCACTGCGTGCGCGGCTTCGTCTTGCCTGAAATATGTTTTTGTCTTTCCGATTCCTTTTCCTCCACCGTGATTTGGCACAGATAATATTTCGGGTCTACTTCGGTGATGTGAAAAACCAGGTGCATGTAGTCTGTTGAATCCCCATCCCCTCCAAGTACAGGAAAGATTGCACTAGATACTTACCCTTAGCCTTACGCACAAAACTCTCAAAAATAAGCGCAAGCATATGTACATTGGCAGCTGTTCATCTTTTTCCCGGCTTCCATTCCCGACGAAGATGTTGCCTTGCAGACCTGCCAGGCCTCCTTGCACTTGCCACACTGGATCTTTCCGCCGCAGCCGTCGTCTTCCTCCCCACAGGTGGAGGCGCACTTTTTCTTTTCACACACGCACTTGTTCTGCACGCACCGGTCCTGGGCGTTTTGGCAAACGCCGCAGGACACCTTCCCGCCGCAACCGTCCAACTGCGTGCCGCACGTCAGACCCTCGTCGCACTGCGCCTTCACCGTGCAACGGCACTGAAACAGCTCCAACGGCTGCGACAAAGCCCACAGCGACAGAGGAACCGCTCCCGCATGATGTGCAGCTTCAGGTTCAGCTTGTGCGCCAGCGCTAGCATACCTGTAATGATCTACTACTTCCGGGGTCGACAGTAATGCCAGTTGCAGAGCAGCGGCGCTGCCAGTCGAAGATGCGGTGGGCACCATCAAGGACCCCCCTCCGGATGTTGAAAAGGAGCCAGCAGAAGAAAACGCAGCAGCAGGTGGTTTTTGGTTCCAATACTCCAATTTCAAATGCAAAAGTGTCTGGGTCTGGAAGAGTGCGCGACTTGTCACGCAGCTTTTCTATGACCCATGAGGTCTGGAATGCAGGACTTAGCATGACAGACTCTGCGCGATCTCTCTCATGCCTATCCTGCATGAGAAACTCCCTCCCGACTTGGTCAAAACTGGACGACTTTTGGTAGTCATGCAACACAGATTTTTGCATGCTTCAGATTTAGCATGACAAGTTGCATTCTTCCAGACCCAGACATTTTTACATTTCATATCCAACTCATAGAACCCGCAGGTGTATGGTTCGTTCGTCTCCGTGTTTCGTTCCGCGCAAAAGGATTTCAGCGGTTCCGCCGTGCGCCGCGGGTCGGTCAGTTGCAAAAAATTTCGCATCACATCCACGTACCCGGGGGACGTCACGGGCGGCAGCGACCGCGCGCCACACGCGATTTGGTTTCCGCACCCGTCGGGCTCGAACCCGCAGCCCTTGTTGTGGCTGCACTTCGCCTTCGGCTGGCACACACACTGGTTCTGCACGCACACGCCTGGGTTGTTCGTCAGGGAGTTGTAGCTTTTTTTAAGCCTGTTTGAAGCAGTAGAACTTGATGTAGTTTGAGTTTCACTTTTTTCCGCCGCACAAGATTGCACGTACTTCTCCAGTGTCCGCGTCAGAGCCTCCACAATCTTCGCCGCGGATTTCTGTGCGACGAAAGGGAGCGCGGAGTAGTCCACGGTAGCAATGACGTCTTCTGGCAGGGCGGAAGGACTTCTGTTGGTACGACCTCCGGACGACGAGGACGACCCAGAGCCAGAGGTCGAAGAAGATGATGAAGCTCCAGGTAGTAAAAAACGCACCTCCCCGATTGGCGCTGAAGGTTCCTCTGCCATCTTCGCGGCTCCACCTGCAGTACTTCCCGAGGCGGATCCAGCTGAACTCGTGCTTGTTCCACTGAACAACGGGGTTGAAGATGTACTACGTGCTATCGAACTACCTGGAGCTTGGTGTGCCAAGGCAGCAGCTCTACTCCGCTTCTTTGTGGAAAAAGCCGCAAAGAAGTGTTCTTGCAACAGCGATGTACTACCAGAAAGACCACTTGGCGCATTCGACGACCCCGAGCCGGACTTTGCTGCTACTTCCCTGTTCTCCGCGTCCAGGGCTGCCTGCTGCTTCAACGCCGCCTGGCGTAGTAAGTTGTGGTTCCCGCAGTACACGAAGCCCCCGCAGCCGTCCTCGATGAACCCACAGTCGAAGTGGTCGCAGGAGGTCACACTGCTTTTGCAGTCCGATTTCACCATGACCAGTTCCCACTGTTGCGACGCGGAGTTCGGGTCTGACGGCTTGGTGGAGGTCACGGTAACAAAGCTGTTGTTCGCCTGTAGTCCAGGAGCCACTGGAACGGTATCGGAATCTAGCGCCTCTCCATTCTCGTGCTTTAAAATTCGCACAACGTTGCCCTTCACCCATCGCACTAGCCACTTTTGCGACCGGTCACGGTGTTTCATTTTTGAGAGGTACGTTGCGTGCTTCTGATTTGCGCTTCTTGATGATGTGGTTGCACTCTCCCTGCTGCCGAAATTTTTCGTAGTGCTCACACCTATTGTAGTGTAGTTTCTTGCGCCAGTTGTTGTACTAGCAGACATCGACACAAACGAATCTAGGAAGAGCGCGTCCGCGTCGCCCCCCGCGAGAAGCGAGTACAGAGCCCCATGCCCGATTGGCTTAATGCGCCACGCGGTCGTCGTGCTGCGAGCGAGTGCAGATTTCAATATTCCCGCCTCTTGGGTAGATTCGTGCTGCTCAGCTACAACCGCGCTGGCGCTGTCGTAAGAACCTTCGTCGTGCTGGTCCTTGTGCTGTAGAAAGGAACGAGATCTCTTTCTGCTCTCTTCCTGCTCCGACACCAGCGACGACACTGGCCTTGCAATGCTGGTGACTGAGGAAGACGCGCTACTGCTAGCAGCTGGTGGTCCTTGTGCAGGAGTAGGCCCAGCAGGCGATGCACTTACGATACCTGACTGCGAAGGAGCACCAGTCACGGCACGAGCCTGAGACTGACTGCTTCCGAACGAAGCAGCTGCATCAGTCGCGACCTGCCCCTCTGCGGGGGCTTCTGCAGAAGCTTTATTCCCGGTAATAATCCGAATCGGGGCCCTTGAAGTAGCACCATTCATCGTCGAGGACAACGCTGCTTCGCTTCCTGCTGAGCCCGCTGGTAGTTTCATTTCACTTGGAGGTCCGTCGACGAGCAGCAGCCCCGCCAGGGGACTAGCGGCGGAAGCCATACTGAGGTACTTCCCCGAGGACAGCTGTCTCAGGGCGTAGTACCCATCAAAGCTTGGCTTCTTCTGGATGGGCAGCGTGACCCACTTCTGCGAAAAGTTCTCCTGCTTGTCGCTAATCCCAGCCGCCGTGGTGTGCAGCAGACGGACAGCGGCGGTGGAACTGGAAGCTTCATTTGCCGCATGACGCTTTTCTTTTTTCGCGGTATTTGTGGATGTGCGGAGTAGTTGCTTCTGCTTGTTTAACTTGAAATTCTCCTCTTCGTGCTGCTGTACCATGCTCAAAGGTCCCACCGTCGGAGCACGCCCCCCCGCTGCCGATGCCACAGTTGGCGCTGCCAGTTGTGTGGTTGTACTAGACTCGCTGCTTCCACCGAGGAAACCAGTACTGGAACCACCCTGAAGCCCGGCTGAACTACCACCCGGCACCGCTGCAGAACCAGTGGTCAGCTGCGGCCCTACATCAAACGCGTCCAGTACCCGGCCCGTCGAGCACTGTACGATGCGCCACTCGGCGCTGTTCCCGCTGTTCAGCTTCAACGGCTGCATATGGCGTTCTCAAACGTTACATTCTCAACTGTTACATGGGTCTGTCATGCAAAAGTGCCTTCAGCCGGCAGATGATCGAGCTGCTTCGCATGACAAATATCGGAAGGGCTGAACAACATCTAAATCTGCGCCAAACTTGTAATGCAAAAGGCGCAATCTTCCTCCTTTCAGTTTTGCCAGTCTTGCATGACAAATTCATGTAACAGTTGAGAATGTAACAGTTGAGAATGTAACAGTTGAGAACCCCATACTGCAAGTACCAGAGCTGCGACGCGTCCCCCTCTGCCAGTTTCAGTGTGCCCGCATACTTATGAATTGCAAAAGTGTCTGGGTCTGGAAGGGTGTAAACTTGTCATGCAGGTTCTCCATGACCCATGAGGTCTGGCATGCGGGACCTAGCATGACAGAGTCTGTGAGGTCTCTGTCATGCTTATCCTGCATAAGAAACTCCCTCCCAAATTGGTCGAAAGTGGACAACGAACTTTTGGCAGTCATGCAACACAGATTTTTGCATGATTCGGCTTTAGCACGACAAGTTGCAATCTTCCAGACCCAGACATTTTTGCAATCCATAATACTGGTACGCAAACGTCGCGTTTTCCCGTTCGACCGCGTCCATGTACCGACCAGAGCTCCATTGGTCGATCGTGTACACGCTGCCCTGGACAATATGCAATGCAAAGGCATAAGCGAGCCCCTCTAGTATAAATTGCATCTTCACAAATTTTTCAAAGTAAGGCTGCGACAGCCACAGCTATAATTGTCCAGCTCACCATTTCTAGCAGAAATCTCTTGTACCATAATGCTACGGGTAAGTACAACGAGCGCGATTTAATACTTTTGCCTTGGATACACAAGTGAAAACTCCCATTTCTGGGAGTCGGCGGTCAGGTCCAGGGGCTTCATACCCAGCTGCGTCAGCGAGACGGAATCCAGGGCCAAATCCGTGTTTTTCTGCTTCACCGAATAGACCATCCCACAAAAAAACTATTTCACTGTGTCTGTGACGATTTTGCAAGACCTGCATTACAAATTTGTTACACATGACGCAGAATATTTGCCATGCGCGCTTTTCAAGGGAAAACACGCTTGGAAATCCAATGTCTTGCAGGTGTAGCAAGACAGACACTTTGGTGCTTCATTTTCTGCATCACAAGTTCACAGCGAAACAGTTTTTTCTTGCGATATACACACCGGACAGCGCAATCAGGTCCCGAACCTTTTCGAACACCCACAAACCGCTTGTTGGTCCGTTTTGTTCTTCGACATCAGTAGACGAACCAGACGCAGTGGAGGACGAAGCAACGGTCACCTCTGGACGAGAAAGTGGTGCTCCCCCTGGACGTCGTGTGAGCATCCCGTTACTGCCAGGTCCACCTGAAGATGTCGTGCTGTCGTCGTGCACTGGAACCTCTAGCTTCTGCGCACTGGACTCCTGGATCACCTCGTGGCTGAGAGGCTATGCAGTGCAAAAGTATGGTATCTATCGTACTCGTATAAATGCATTACAAATTCCCCCAGCATGAAAAATATAATTTGTAATGCAGATTTGCCTTGGAAACAAGATTTGTAATGCAAGACTTGCATTTGTACGAGTACGATACTTTTGCACAGGATAGAGGCTCTCCCTCGGCAATCTCCCGCAGCCGCAGTATGAAATGCAAAAATGTCTGGGTCTGGAAACTTGTAATGCTGCGTTGGAAATAGTGAATGCTCTGCAATGCATAGACAAGCATGAGAAATATCTGCGCTTCTTTGTGTTGCGTTTTTCGAATGACAAACTGCGTTTTTGCATGACAGGCAAAAGGGTCTCGTCTTGGACACGCATCACAAACTTTTTGGTCATGCCAGACAAGCATGACAAAACTCGCAATCTTCCAGACCGAGACATTTTTGCATTTGATACGCAGAACCCATCGCTGATGGTTCCCGAGATCCGGTGGCTGGAGCGAAAAAACAACTTGCTGGTGCTCCGGCTGGGAGCTGCCACGAGGACCTTGATGTTCTGTTCCACCAGATCCTCCGGCCACAAACCGGCCGCTTTGCACCTGCTGCAGTGTGTAGGTGTCATCCTTTTCGGCGCGACGCACTATCCAGTCCTGCGACCAGCTGTTGCTCGCACCATTCGACGTTTGCAAGGCTTCACCGTCCGGAGAATCCAGGTAGCGCCCGGTGCTTTTTTCGAAAATCCGGTAAATCCCGTCGAGCTCGCCCGGCGAGGGGACCTTCTGGGCCTGCGCAACGTCGAAGACGACGGAGAAGTGCTGGCTCAGAGACGCAACGAGAGCCAGACAGTGCAAGAATCCGTGCAGCAGAGGACCCGTCATAGTACACCTTTTGCGCAGCCTTGGTACCCCCGCCGCAGCCCGGTCGTCGCGGTTGTGAGATGAGATACTGGACGACATGATTTGTTCCCCGCCACGCTGTCCGCGGTGCGGACAGCGGTTCGAGATGATGCAAAGACTCCTCACATCTTATGTACAGGGAGCATTGGCATTGTTGCTTGATACAATCAATCGCTCTCCCCAGCGGCCTCGGTAGGAGCGATTTTTTGGTACGACGTAGAAATAAACTTACTTTCTGCAAAGGAAGCAGATGAGAAGGAGGTTTGTCGCTTCTCCTCAGGTGGACAGTGTGCAGAAGCGCAGCTGCGCGTCGTTCGTATCGAGCATCTGCCTGCAGAAGATGAGATCCTCTCACTTCCATTTGCATTTTCCTCGTCCTCCAAAGAAAAAACATCAAGATCAACACCATCACCAGAAACGCTCGCGCATAATAGGTACAGCAACCTCCACACTCGACGGATTACTGACTCAGTGGACAGAATAGCGCAACACCGGAGGAACTCCTCGACGCCTCAATACAGAAATTGCCATCATGTCGCCTCGCAGCTTGAGCGGCTTCTTAATCAGCTTACACTTTTTTAGCATCGTCCGGTTTCAAAATAGAAGCATACAGCCAGTTTAAGTATGGATTTGTCCATATCTGTTTTATTTATTGCGTTAAAATTGTATGCTCCCGCATTGCGCTTTCTTCCCGTTGCAGCAGGTTTCATAACCATCGTTACGGAGGCTTTTTCGTGCAGCTTTGATGCTTGACCAAAGCCTGCTTTCTGCTTCTGCACAAAGTGGAAGACAGGATCACTCCCATCCTGTTCAACGGTTCTGACTTTTCATCGGATGAAATTTTATCATATATTACACGACATGTGGTGAACGCACATTTTAGTTTTGTTTCTATCCTATTTTTTCATATCCAAAATCGCTCGCTAGAGCACGGCAGAAGCCGTGCTGCTTTGCTAATCTAGGTAGTTTTCGTTTTTTCTCATTTTTGATATGCTTGCAGCATTCGTTGCATAATATGCACCGGATTCAAAATTTGCTAGTAATTGCAAGGAAAAGTCTATAAGAAGCAATAGTAAATCATCAATCATTCACAAAACTCGTCGTAAGAAAGCCCAAGTTCCATTTTCTGGTATTACGTCTAGACGCATTTTCAACTTCGTGGTGGAAGATTGATCTTTTATCAGCAGGTGGAACATTGATTTTCTATCTTCAGCTTTCATCGTGTGTGCTCTTCCCACGACTATCTACTGACTCCTTTGGCCGTGGCAACACGACCACGACAACACCATGAATAGCACACGACCACTCAACTACTTCCCCCAGGAGCTCCTGCGGGTCGCAACTGGGCCCGGCCTGTGATCCGCTGACGGCAAATGGGGCATTCTCCACGAGGCATCCCCCGCACCGCGCACCCCGCACACGCGCACATGTGCCCGCACGGGAAAAAAACCTGATTGGCCTTCTCGTCGTAGCAGATTGCGCACACCTCTTCTTGGGTGGTCCCCGCGGAGGTTGTTGTAGCGCTAGAAGTGGTGGCGCCACCTCGTCCGGACGAGGAAGTGCCGACTACATCCGAACCAGAGCCGGGAGCTTCCGCCCCGATCCGTACGGTATCCGTCGAAGACGCACGCGTCGAGGCCGCCGAAAGGGAGGGGAGGAAGGGCGCCGGGCTCTCATCTCTGCGCCCGATCCGTTCTGTGCTGGCTTGAGCAGCAGCGCGCGCCAGCAAGCCACGAAAAGGTTGAATATCAGTGGGGACGCCAAATAGTGGAATTGTTGTACCTGTCGTGTGGTAGAAGTGTAAAGTAAATTTGATACTGCGCATGCGCAATAAATTTTCAGCATCAACACTCTTATCTGCAGACTGCAGTTGCGCGCGCGTCCGTGAAGATGCTCTCCTGGTCCTCCACCTCGAATCATCAAATTCAAATACGAATAGTAAGTTGTGCTATCCGAAAAATCCGCACGATGAGAAATAATCATACAAGAACATGTGCAGCATAATATTAATATCTCGAGTAGTAAGTCCTGCACCAGTCCTCGCTATCCAAAAATTTTTTCCGTACCTTCCGATGCATCAGCGTGACGCGCCGAAAGTGGTGGAGAGCGGGACCGACCACGTGGCGGCGGTACAATAATCTGTGGCTCGTCGACCAGGGGTGCAGCGGCGACTCCCCGCGTCCTTCCCACAGAAGGCAGAACGGAAACACCCTTGATGAAGATGAAAAGCAAAAGTGATGCTGATATTACCCCTCCTGGTGGTACAACCCCGCTAAAAATAGAAAACAAAAAGGAAAGATATTGATAATGCTTTGACTCCACACCGTAGCCGTTGATTCTAGATTTACATAATTTCATCCGTATGACCTGCAGGAGCATCACCTAACTCCATTCCGCTCGCGTTTCAAAAATGCAGCTGCAGGTGCAACCGCGGTCGTGTTTGTTACCAAAACGCCACCATCAAAACAATTAGCACTTATGCACATGATGAACATGGTGCTTTTCTCTCCGTACCCGCCATAGAGGGTGGACGAGGTATTGCGATCACTTTTGCGGTGTATTCATATCCCTACGAGCCGTCATTCTCGCAGCTCCCCGTGCCTCCGCCTCATTATCCCCAGCTCCCAAATTTTGGTGATAATGCTCACGAAAGATGCGCTTTAGCTGCTCAACGTCCCACCGGGTAAGGTGAGGGCTCTGCTGTAGATCCGCCCGGGCCGAGTCGCGTGCACTGCTAGTGCTCATGTTGCAGTAGTTCGAACTCTCGTAAAAGTCGCGCAGAGCAGCGAAGACCGCTTTGCGCTCCTCGACCGCGCTCGCAGTCAGCTCGGAGTTTCTCTGCATTTCAGCCCGCGTCGCTGCCCGCGCATCAGTGGTGCTCATGTTGCAATACATATAATTCTCGTAGAATTCGTAAAGCGGCCTGAACACCAGTTTCCGCCGTTCGACGTCACTACGACTTAGGTCGGGGCTGCTCTCGATTTCAGCCCGCGCCGCTGCCCGCGCATCAGTGGTGCCCATGTTGCAATACATATAATTCTCGTAAAATTCGTAAAGCGGTCTAAACACCTGCTTGCGCCGTTCGACGTCACTAGGACTTAGGTCGGGGTTTCTCTGGATTTCAGCCCGCGCCGCTGCCCGCGCATCAGTGGTGCCCATGTTGCAATACATAGAATTCTCATAGAATTCGTAAAGCGGTCTAAACACCAGTTTCCGCCGTTCGACGTCACTACGACTTAGGTCGGGGCTGCTCTCGATTTCAGCCCGCGCCGCTGCCCGCGCATCAGTGGTGCCCATGTTGCAATACATATAATTCTCGTAAAATTCGTAAAGCGGTCTAAACACCTGCTTGCGCCGTTCGACGTCACTAGGACTTAGGTCGGGGTTTCTCTGGATTTCAGCCCGCGCCGCTGCCCGCGCATCAGTGGTGCCCATGTTGCAATACATAGAATTGTCATAGAATTCGTAAAGCGGTCTAAACACCTGTTTGCGCCGTTCGACGTCAGTAGGACTTAGGTTGGGGTTGCTCTCGATTTCAGCCCGCGCCGCTGCCCGCGCATCAGTGGTGCCCATGTTGCAATACATAGAATTCTCGTAGAATTCGTAAAGCGGTCTAAACACCTGTTTGCGCCGTTCGACGTCACTAGGACTTAGGTCGGGGTTGCTCTGGATTTCAGCCCGCGCCGCTGTCCGCGCATCAGTGGTGCCCATGTTGCAATACATAGAATTCTCGTAGAATTCGTAAAGCGGTCTAAAAACCTGCTTGCGCCGTTCGACGTCACTAGGACTTAGGTCGGGGTTGCTCTGGATTTCAGCCCGCGCCGCCGCCCGCGCATCGGTGGTGCCCATGTTGCAATACATAGAATTCTCGTAGAATTCGTAAAGCGGTCTAAACACCTGTTTACGCCGCTGGACGTCACTAGGACTTAGGTCGGGGCTACTCCGGATTTCATCCCGCGCCGCTACCCGCGCATCAGGTGTGCCCATGTTGCAGTACATAGAATTTCCGTAAAATTCGTGAAGCAGTGCGAACACCTGTTTCCACCGCTGGACGTCACTAGGACTTAGGTCGGGGTTTCTCTCGATTTCAAGCTGCGTCGCGGCCCGCGCACTAGTGGTGCACATGTTGCAGTACATAGAATTCGCGTAAAATTCGAACAGCGGCCGGAAAACCTCTTTGCGCCGTTCGACGTCATGTGCAGTTAGACGGGGGTTCCGTTCAATTTCAAGCCGCGCCACGTTGCGCGCGTGACTGGACAGCAAGTTGCAATACGAAGAATTCTCGTAAAACGTGAGCAGTGGCTGGAAAACTGACTTACGCCGCTCAACGTCATTCACAGTCAAATCCGGGTTGCGCTGGATTTCGAGCTGCGCTGCCTCGCGCGCGTCCGACCCTATCAAATGTAAAAATGTCTGGGTCTGGAAGAATGCGCGATTTGTCATGCAGCTTTTCCATGACTCATGAGGTCTGGAATGCAGGAACTAGCATGACAGATTCTGTGCGACCTTTCTCATGCGTATCCTGCATGAGAAACTGCCTCCCGACTTGGTCAAAACTGCACGACTTTTGGTAATCATGCAACACAGATTTTTGCATGCTGCAGATTTAGCATGACAAGTTCCAATCTTCCAGACCCAGACATTTTTACATTTGATAGCCCCACTCATGTTGCAATACACCGGATTCTCGTAAAAAACGTACAGAGCCCTGAAAGCCTCTTGCTGGTGATAGGCGGAGCTCGCCCAGACGACCCTCTCGGTGCCGAGGGCCAGCGAAGCCACCCCGCGCAGCCAATAGGTTGCCGACAAGCCCATGATCGTTCCTTCTACCGAAGATCTTTGTGCTGCAACTTCGCGACAAATAAGATGCAATACCTCTATTAGACTTTTTTTTCGTATCCTTATTCTAGATCTAGATTCATTTGTGCTTGTGGCTACAAAATTAATAAAAAGCACAAATATCTTAAAAAAATCGTGAAATTGAGAATAAAACGACTCAAGCTCAAGCTCCTACTTTACGTCCATCCTCGTGGTAAAAGTGCAAAGGTTGAACTCCAGATCCAGTGCTTATTGAGATAGCAAGCAGGTGGTTCTCAGAATAAAGATAAACGAAGTGAAAAATAATATTGAGATAGCAATCGGATGGTTCTCAGAATGAGATGAAGACGAAGAAGTCCTGTGAAACGACCAATCGGAGGAGCGTTCGTTGTTGATCTGACTCTTTGTCTTGATCGTTACCAGACCGCAAAGCTTGTCAGCACCCGGAGGCGGAAAGCGCATGCGCTTGATTGATAAGATCCAGTTCTAAATCTTCCCTCTGTCTTATTACGTGCTCCTTTCGACAACTAAATTATCTTCTGGATCATCTGTTATCCTGAGCCTGACGATCGGTGAGCACTGCTGAAGATCATGGTCTCCGCCAGAACAAAGTTAACCACAATCAGGTACCATGACGTAGAAATATCTCTGCCACAAGCGAAATTTTTTTGTCAGAGCAACGATGGCAGAACTAAGTACTTATTTAAAGTGCTGCCACTCCAACTATAATCGATGTTCGCAGTTCGCTTTGTCAAGAATATCATAATCTCCCACGAACGGAGTGCCGCTTTTGCAGCGGTGTCTCCTTCTTGTGCATTGAAATACTCCATCACTACCGTGAAAAAAACGAAAAGTGGTGTTCTTTGCGAACATTTAGTAAAAAGAACTCAGTCATGAAAACAAGAAAGAAACTCCGACGTTTGATTCATAGGTACTTTTGCTCGTACCCATCTCCACAGAAGCACGAGAGCCCCGAACTCCTGCAATACGCCGAATAGTGCTGACAATGCGGCGGACGTTGATGCTGAGGAGCCATTCTCGAATTCCACAGCCGTGCGCCCTTCTTCTTGCAGCTCTAGAGTAGTACTTTCGTCTTGGAGCACCATTGTGAAACTGACCACCTCCAGAAAAACGCGAGCGAAAAACGCCGTGAATAACACCCGAGCGGTGAAAAGAACGTGTGCATCCGCCGACAGCAGGCCACCACGCGCGAAGAGCAACTCGCACACCCAGGAAGGAGACCTCTGTGTGGTAGTTGTAGGTTCCAACGCAACAAGGGAACCCTTCAGCTTCTGATGGTGTGGTCCACCTTGTAAAGATGATGCAATTCCTAATGTGTAGTTTTGCGATTGATCCTCTTCTTGCGAAGAATTTTTGGAAGGAAGCAGAAAACGCCAGCAGGACGCCGAGTTCTTGGCCAGCACATCCTGCCCATCCTGGAGTAAAGCAAGTTCTTGCTGAAGGTGGGACAAGCAGTGGTTTCGTTGGCTGTTCTCCTGGTAACCTTCTTCACACGACAAGGTCTCTTCATCACTTTGTACTTGTAGTTGCCGATGGCGATGCCGACTGCTAAATAAACTAGTATCTTCGCCTGTTCGAAGCTGCTTTACTGCTCCCGAGTGCAACATGGTAGCGGGCCGGCGGGCGCGAGATGAAAGAGAGGCACTATTCGTCGGCAACAGGGCCTCCCGCGCCCGAACCCAGGGCGCCAAGAAATCGGTCTCGAAACGGCGAAAGCAGGCGTCCACGCTAGCGAACAGAAACAGGAGCACCGGGTCCAAGCGCACAAAAATCTGCCAACCGCAGGCACACACCGTCCAGCGCAGAAGGGAGAGGTCGGGGAGTTCTGGCGTATCTTTGTCCAAAAGAACGCCGCCTGGTGCAGCTCTTTGCTCCGCCGGGCCGCCGAAATTCTTGGTCGGATTGTTGTTCTTCTTGCGGCAGAAAGAAAACGGAAAAATTATAAACCGCGACACTGCAGTGATTACTCGTTCTTGAAGCAAACACCTTTCATCACAAGATGAAGCAGCAGCACCCTTCAAATCTGCTGACGCGAAACTTCGAAGAGGATTTTTGGAAGCAACTGCGCTGTCCTCTGGTGACGCTGCGAATGGTGCGGAGGTGGCGCCAGCACAACTGCTTCCGTTGTTCCGTGAAGCTGATAGTTGTACTCTGTGATGCGGTTCTACTACTTCCGGCCCCACCTTGACGAGCATCATCTTCTCTTTGTTTCTATTTCCAGCGCATCTCTTGCTGCCAGTTTGGTTTTCGCTAGCATCGTCCGCGGCCATGATAATCTTCGAGGCCTGTTGGAACTCCAAAAAGGCGCGCTCGTCTTCGTAAGCGGAGATTTCGTCCGCACTACTGGAAGTTGAACCAACTGAATCTGGGCTGCTTGTTGTAAAAACGCTGGCGCAGGAGCTGCCGTTCAGATGTTTCTTGACCTCCGGCGAAAGGGCTTCTTCAGCATGCTCGCCGCCCCTGGAGGGGCTGCCCTCCACTTCTTGCGCGAAAGAATTTTTGATGTAGCTTGAGCCGCTTATTGTCTTGCTCGTAGTTCCTGTGCAGCTCTTGCTCCCCCGTCGGCGCATGTTCAGGCCAGTTGTGCCTGCGGGGACGACCGCAGAGGAACAAGAAGTCGATTCTGATGAATCCATACCCTGTTTCTGTGTTGCAGAAGAAGAAACTAGTGCACCACCTGCCGGCGAACTTTCTCCAGTAGTTTTTCTTGACGACGAACCTTGTGTTGGTTCGAAAAACTGCTGGTCATTGTCCCGTTGCACCAGCTCTTCCCGTTTGATCAGATTCTTTTCGAACAACTTCCGATACCACACGGCCGTCGCCCTGCTGCCTTCAAATGTGGACAGCAGCACCGCACCGGCAGAGAGAGCAAGTAGCGTGGACAATTGGTGCATTCTGCAGGTAATAGTATCCGCAAAATAAATGGGAGAAGCAGTAGAAGTAGTTCTTGCGGTGGCTCCAGCATCAACATCTTCTGCGGCGTTGAGTTTCAGCAGCAGACGGAGCATTATCCCTGCGGCACAAAAGCCTCGGAGAACCCACTTCTGTCGCACCGCGGGGTAAGAAATGGATAGGCCTGATGTAGTCGGTGAAGTAGATTCCATCAGCGCAATGACGAAGAAGATCCCGAGTTGCAGCGCAACGACGAAAAGCGCCGGCGAACGATAAAGGGCGACACCGTAGCTGCTGATCATGTTGTTCCCCACATCAGAACTCGTTGTACTATCGCTGGAGCGCCCGCTCGCAGCTTCATCTCTAGCCACGACTGAAGATGTAGATGTAGTCGCACACAAGTACTTCTTACTGATAAAAACCACCACCTCAGCCACGCCGCCCGAAAACACGCCAATACAGCAGAGTCCGCGTCGGCTGCAGCGCAGAAAAAAACCCTGTGTGGTTTCCAACACTTTCTCCGCGAGTTGCGAAGAAAACCAAGAACCCTCGACGTTCCGCACCCAGAGCGAGCGGGAAAAAGAGCTGCGTGAGTTGTGGTTGCGCAGACAGCGCAGGTACTCGGCGACGGCGGTGGAATACCAGAGCCATGAGAACACGGGCCAGAGGAGGAGAATCAATGTCGCCGCGAGGACCTCCTCGTCGTCCCAATTTGGAAGATGCAGGAGCATGACCCCATCTCCGCCAGTGCGCTGTTTTAGCTGCGCGAAGAGAAGCCACACTCCGGCCAACACGAAGGGAGTCGTTAGCGACGATAAGAACTGCATCAGCGGCGCTACCAGAAAGACCTGCATCGGCATCTGCAGCACATTGTCACAAGCGTCGAAGCTCGCGGCGAGAAAGGCCTTCGAAAACAGAAAACCAAAGGCCACCAGAAAGTAACCTTTTGATGTAGGAAAAATTCTTGCTGTCTACGGCAACTACGCAAGGTCGCGGTGAGAAAACAAGTACAACTCGTTATCAAGTATCGACAAATCAGTGGGGTTTCGAAACTTTTTCATTTCATTCATGTTCAACTTTTGGCGAAAAAACGCAATGAAGCCATCCAACGAACAGGAGGCTCATCTTCATAAGAACATAGTGGCACATTATACCTGGACCGTCGCAAGATAGTTGGTTCACGAGGCCGTAACGCCAGCAAAAAAATAGCGCCAACACACCCTCCAACGCATACTGGCCAACCTCGTACTTGAAGCGGCGGGAAGCCAGCGCCGGAATATTGGTGTCTCGCGAAACCAAAAAACCCTGGATGAAGTGTTTTATTGTTCTGGAAAAATTTTTGGTGATGGTGGTTTGGTATCCAATTTATTTATATCTGAAAGTATGTAAGTTTTTTCCTCTACCGTATCTATTTATCACCACGAAAAAACCAGTGCGCCCTTCATTCATCCGTTCATTTTTAATTTTATCGTACCAATTTTTCCCGCTCCAAGATCCATCCGCAGATCGGGTACATATCAAGTGCAAATGTGTCTGGGTCTGGAAGATTACCAGGTTTGTCATGTTGGAAAACTAAGGGCAGGGCGTCCCTTTGTCATGCATATTTTCCATGATCCATGATGCCTGTAATGCATAGCCTACCATCACAGATTTTTAGAGGGCTTCCAGATGCCTCTTACGCATGAGAAATGCCGTCTCCGCGTGGCACAAACTGGGCTCCTCATCCTGGTCACGCAATGCAGATCTTTTTAGAATCCAAAAACAGCATCACAAATTGCTAACTTGTTCCAGACCCAGACATATTTGCAATGCATAGTACAGACACGCGAGCAAGAGGATCACGCATACGAGGACAGCCAGTACACCGGTTTCGGCCCCGACGCCCGGGCGAATCAACGTTGCAATCAGAGATCTTCCGGGGCTTTTGCTCTTATTTGCTTTTTTCATCCCCGGTCGTCGCGCTTTCCGAAACTCCGCAAGCTTGACATAACACGGCAACACCTTGCTGTGGTCAAGCAACATTTCCACTGCGTGTGATGCAAACCACCCCTGGTACAGGAGACCGTATTTGAACAACATTTTGATTTTCCGTGTTGGCTTTTTGGAAAAAATCACTTGCTCCTGTTCCCCGTTCCGGCTTTCACCAAGCCCAACCTGATCGGCTGCAATGTTTTTTACCACTCCACCAGATGTTTGCCCATCGCCACCCCGGTCTTGTTCATCACCCTCGTTGTCCCCATTCGACGCATAATTCCACCGCGGAACTTGTGGTCTACTGCTGGCGACACGAATCTCGGCCGCCTTGTAGCCTGCGAGGTAGTCGTAAACGCTCAATTTCACGCCGTTGGCCTTCGCTTCCTCCGCTGCCAAAAGACTGCATTCCGCCAGGACGTAGCTTTGGCGAAGGTTTTCTGCTTCCCGGACAGTTTGGCGGAACGATGCTTGCGCGCTGAAAACGAGAGCAATCACCAGCAGTGTGACGGCGACAATGCCGGGGGCCGCTCCTGAGGTCGTGGGGCCTGTCAGGGCCATCATGTCATCCACATCCAAAATCTAGTTGTAATTCTCAGAAGAATAGACGCACACAAAGCTCCTCTGTCGTGAACGCCCTCATCGCAGAACTTATTCTGAAACGGAAGGACGAAACTGGTGTGACTGAATCACTCAATTATGACAATGGCTATAGACATACGAGCTTCATCAATTATACTTCTCAAGTAGCCTGCTCGTGCTCCAGCGGTTCCTCCAGACATGAAAATCATTGTTCATGATATCGTATCTAGAAATGAAAACCGACATAGCACTGCAGCAGCACGCTCTGTCTACTACTCCAGCTCGCAGAAGAGCTCATAACTCTACCGAAGCAAAGTGTGCAGTTCTGAAGTCAGAAGCTACTTCTCCAGTTAACATTTCGCGCGTGTCATTATTGTGGCGTTAGGTGACGTCGACCTCGAACATTCGGCTTCTGCAACTGATAACAAGTCCGAGTGACCTTGGTGTAAAGCAACAAGAATAAGAAAATCACCACTGACTTCCGCATTCATAGTCGTAAATACTTTCATTTTGATGAGTCGTAGTCGCTGTGCATCGTGATCGTGGTACAACTTCTGTCATAGTCAAACGCAACGGAAAAAACGCAAGAATCAAAAACTCAGGTTGATATTTAGCGCCATGTAAAAATGCCATTGATGCACCATCAGGCTCCGGCAAGACCAATTCCGGCAACGGCCTTATCTTTGCGCGGCCTTTCGTGCAGGTTCATGATGCTGCTCACCTCTTTCTCACTTAGCAATCGAAACTGGCCCGGTTGCATTGGCGTGAGAGGATCGTCTCCCGGGACCCACCAGGAGGAAAAGTGAGCTGCGGTGTAAAGCGAAGTTGAATTTTCTCCGAGATGAACTTCTTCCTCCAGTTTTCGAAGATCGTCGCGTGTACTACTGACTCGGCGCTCGTCGTCGTCCCCGTGGTCAACAACGTGTGCCCTCGTACAGGTTCCTAGCGTGTCTTTTTGGTACCAAAGCAGCGCGGTTTCCACACTGTCCAGTTCCTGTGCGACCTTCTGAACCACCCCGCCAAGACTGACGCGCTGGAGGGTGAGCGTCTGGTATCCGCAAGCCTTCAGTAATCGCCGCACCTCGTGCTTTTTCCCCGATTGAAGCGTGACCTCCACCAGCACGACGTGCAGGTTGGCGACGGAGCTGGTCCTCTTCGCTTTTTGCACAGCACGACGTGTTGGCGCTTCGTCTGCACTTTTATCCGGAACAACTTCATATCTGCTCCGCTCGCTATGAGAACGTTTCTTGCCACTTGCGCTGTCGCCAGCCTCAGCATTTTTTGCCGTGTCTGGTAAAGAAGTGGAGCTGGCCGCATCATCTTCAACTTCATCCGCAACCACAGCTCTACAACTCCCACGCTTGTTTTTACATCTCACGTCCTTATCATTCCCAAATCGCCGCTGAAACCTGTTTGCGGGCACAGACCGGGAATCGATAACGCTTATGCGGTCGTCCATGGTCGTCAATTTGTGAGCAAGAAAAGTCGCAGTTCTCCTCTTTTTCTGAGTTTTTTCCTGAGTTTTTCCACCTCTATCTTTATCTTTTCGAGAAGCAGTAGAATATCCAAGAGTATTTCGATGTTCATGATAGGTGTTCCTCTCTTCGACGTTTTCGGCGCTAACTTCGTCGTCCAACGGCCGCAGTGACTTCGCCAGTACCCGGTACACTTTGGTATGTCCGACATCCGGCGAAGTCACCTTGTGACTGAACCTTCCGTCGTCCGTGAGGAAAATCAGCCCCTCCGAGTCCAGATCGAGCCGCCCCACTGGGGAAATGGTGATGTTCTTGACCGGGCCCTCGTAGGTTCTTTCTGTGGACCACGATGAGGGGAATTCTTTCGCAGTAGAATCTTCTCGACAACTTGCCGCCTCGTCTGTCGTGGTCCCCGTCCGCTTTCCTTGCGAAGTAGATCCTCGCTCGGCCAAGGCCTGGGTCAGCAGCTCAGAAATGAAAGGCACAAAGGACGATTTGTTTTCGCTTTCAACAGTTTGCAGCTCTTCTTGGCACCCATTTGTATTGTTCCCGAGTTCTGGATCGGGAATGATCCTCATCTGGCCGAACGAACGTGGAGGGGCTTCGGTTGTGCCTGGTGCCGCACCTCTACTTCGTATTCTGGAAAAGTACTTCGACGTCGATGGCAGAAAGCGCTCGGTTTCTGCAACATTGGTCTGTGGAGGACGGGACGTCAGCACAAGCCGCGGTTTGTAATGGAGCAGGTACACGTAGTTCTTCCTTTTTTCTCCTTTTGCTTTTTGTTTTTCATCGGAGCCGCATGATCTGGGAGGCCGGTCGCTGGTTTCGCTTATCATTTTCGAAGTTGGAACTGTGAATTCGGTTTTACGAAATCTAAACAACAACCAAACAAGCCAGGACATCCCTCTTTTTAGTTTGCTCGTCGGGTCAAGCTCAAGGGAACCTCCACCCCCTCGTTTAAATCTACTTCACAAACAGTCGTTCCCTGGTAGGGGTAGTAGAGGAATGCCTTTCTTCTATCTCCACATGCTATACAAACGCACATGAGTACTTACTTAGTACCCTCCTTTCATTTCACACCGAAAATGATGTCGCTTTGATCTACTTATGATCCAAAAAGCGCAAAGATTCACAACATTTTTGCGCGAGCTTCTGCTTCCGAGAACCGTCAAGATTTGAGAACGATGTGCTGTTGCTTTGATTTTGGTGTGCCGACGGACAAGACCCTCGAAGATTTTGCACGACAGGAAAAAAAAAGAGGCGACAATCTTCTCTTGCTAATTCAATCTGCTGTGCCTGCTTCACCGACTGAAGACTCACCGCAGGAAAGGCGAAGACAAGATCCAATGATTTTCCATGAGAACGGACCGTCCTCACGATTACGCCTGCTTATCGTCCGAATGCGCTGGATCGTCCGATTTATCTTGAAGTTGAAATATTTTTCCTGAAAGACAAAGTACTCCACCCTAGCACATACTGCCTGGATGTTGCTCGATGTCAAGAGGCGTCCTTCGTCTACTGCAGCGGAGAAAAACCATGTACATGTAGTTCTCTGCTCCTAAGCACATTTTTGGGCTCAATCCAAGACACCGCCTCCTTCGTGCACATCCGTTGCGATATTTTTCACGCGGTTGCGCAGCCCAGCCAGCTCGTCCCGCATTTGCTCTATGGCCTGCGTGCTCATCGCCGCGCCCTGGTTGTATCCGTCAAAATTTCCCGGCGGCAAACGGCTACTAGTCGACGCGCCTGGCGCGGCACCTCCTGCGGGCGGGCGAATCCTGCCGCCAAAATTGTAGGGGCTGGAATTTGCTGTCGCGCTTGTTCCCCCGGGTGACGAAGATGCTCCTGCCGACGAGCTGAGAAGCGACGAGAGAGAGCCGTACCGAGACTGGTAGAGTAGGACGCCGAGAACCACAAAGAGCATTGTCGGAAGCCGAATGTTGCCTGGTTTTTTGATGACAAGAGAAGCAGCTCGTATGCAGTGCTACATATGCAAAACACCAATACTACAACTTCCTAAAAAGTGGTGATCGTGATTGTCTGTACCAAAGAAGCCTCCTGCATTCCAGGCTGCTGCTTCTTCTTCTGCTTCTGCTCGCAAATAACCCGGATCGACCACCTCGTAAATTTTTGCTATCCTCTGCGTTGTGTCCTGCTTGCCCCACCGCCCTTCGTTCATAGTTCCCTCTTTTTTCAGCGAACTCGAGGTCCCGCTCCCGCCCCGCCCGTCTTCCTTCTTTTCCGTGATGGAGAGCAAGGTGACGTCGTCCCGGACTGTTTTGCCGAGGGAATAACTTGATATGCCGCGCTTGGTCCATACGACGGTGGGAGGAAGCTCGTCCTCCGTAATGTTGAACAGCTCAAGCTTCTCATCACTCCTGTCATGATCCCGGCGGGGGTTCCGCTTCTGCGCGAACAGCAGCCTCTTGATCAGATGCAGGGAATGCAGCCCCGGCTGAGGTAGCACCCACTGCACGCCGCTACCTCCACTCGTCAGGGTGTAGGAGACCAGACTATCCGTGTAACTGAATGTGAATAAAAAATTCGAAATAAACGGGCCTTCGCGGCAAAGGCGAACTAGAAATACGATTCTAGTCCTACCCTGGTGGAGGACACCCCAAGAACCACGATTGTCATTCTTTTTTGCTTGCAGGAGCCGCTTTGCTTCTGGAACATGTTGGGCCGCTGCAGCAGGAAAGACTCAATACACGAAATCGAAAACCAACAACGCAGCTGCGAATAAGAACAAATACGTCCAAAACTACCAAAACTTACGCTGCTAGCACCCGCAGTGGTCTTCCCGGGATAGAATCCAGGATCGCCGCCGTGTCCACGAGTTTCTGGGTGACCAGTCCCGGCGTGATGTCGCGCAAAGACCCCAATGCATCCGTAAACACGAAAATTTTGCTCTCCCTCGGACAGGTCACCAGCGCACGGCCCTTCTGCACGGCGCTCGTGCTGAGGCGCAAGGGTCCGCCGTCCGCGCAGGTCTGGTTCTTTTGAAACAAAACGGTGCCGTTCACGTGCAGCACCGCAAACCCGCCGTGCTGCTGCGCCAGGTACAATTTTTCCCCGCGCCAGACCGCATGCTCGATGGGCCCGGTAAGGTTCGTGGGGAACTGGTGGATCGTAATACTGGCTGCGGAATCCTGTCTACTATTCTCTGTCTTCGCTTGTTCAACATCCGCGCTTGGACCGCGTGCCCGATCCACTGGCGCGCCGTCAAGCGACACTAACGCGAACCGGCTCGACATATCGAAAAACATTGACTCTGGGACCACGTCGGGCACAGCAGGAGCAGATGAACCGGTTTCATTTGTAGTTTTTGCACCATCAGTTTTATTTCCGTTATTTTCCGATGAGGATGCTCTTGATGCGGAAGATTTTTCGGCGCTCTTGCTACCTCGGTCGGCAGGAGCAGGCGCATTTCCCTTGTTCCGCACTCCTGTCCTTGCAATGGCGCCGCGCTTCGGGTAGACCCGCAGCAGGCGAAACTCGAAATTGGTCGCGTTGTGGAACAGAAGCGGGATCTCGCCGCCAGCTACCGCACTGGATATTGAAGAAGAAGAACTCGTTCTACTTCCGGCATTTATGCTACTATCTTCACTTCTAGATGTTGCTGCGCTAGTACCCACTCTTCTTGCGCTCACCAATTCGTAGTTCAACAACACCCTCGCACTCTCCGCCACGGCAGTCGGCTCCGCGGGCGACACGACGGTCGCGTTGCGAATCGCAGTGTGCACTTTCTGTTCCAGCAGGTCGTTTTCGATCGTCCGCGCAGAGAAAACTGTTGCACTAGAAGCAGAACTTCTTCCGCTACCTCCCGAAGTTCGGTCCTGGTCCTGGTGTGTCGACGAGGAAGTAGACCCAACGACGTTTATTTCATCTACTTCCAACAGCAGGTGCGACAACCGCGTACCGCCGGAGTGGATCGAGTTTGCAGATGCGGAAGGTACGACGTTAGCGAGGAGACTTTTCGTGGGGTCTTCGATCCGTAACCTCTCAAACAGCCAATCTTCGGGTATGTCCGTCGGCAAAAAGGATACATCCGGGTCGAGCAGCGCGTCCACATCGAAATTCTCCAAGGGGGCAAGCAGTGGCGAATCTGGTGGCAGCTGAGCTTTCATCTCTTCGAGCATTTTGATACGTTCCTCCGTTATCTTAATGTCCTCTTCCAGCAACCGCTTCTCCTCAGCTGCCATAAGAGTGGCGAAGCTCGGCCTCGGTTGTAGTGTGCCTGCACTTGTTGTTCCACTTGGTGTTCCAGAAGAAACCGACGTTGCTGGTACCGCTTGTACTAGTTCTAGGTGACCGGAAAACAAACCGACAACACAAAGCGCTAACTGCTGCCACATCATCGCAACGCCGCACCAGCGGAAAATACACGACGCAGCGGAAATACGAACCATGATTGACCCACAAGTGCAGTAGATGCAGCACGCAGTTCGTACGCGGATACTGGATCCGAGGTTTCTCAAGTAATTTGATCACAAGAAGCGAATTATTTGCTTCATTTCAACCATTGAAAACTAAATCACCGTGATCTTTATATCTCAAACTTGATCAGACGGAAGGCAGCAGAGGTGTTTTCGCCATCCAGGAAACCCATGGAAGGATTCTGTACGGAATGGCAGAACTCATACCATCATCACTTCAATTTTCCGTCCACACAAAAGATCATTGCCGATCGGGACCGGGTGTGAAACTGCGGTTCTCTCTCCAGCGCCGGCCTCTCGCTAGTTGATCTATCATGAAGAGATCGTTCTATGGTTCAAGAACAAAACCACCTCAGCTTTTTCGCGCAGAACTACTCCGCACCAAAAGCCGTCGACACCACACGGCCATCAAGGAAGAAGACGGCATAGAATTGGAATTGCAGAAATCAAACTGTCGAACTATTCGCGCATTGGGAGGGCTCGTGATTATCCTGCCGGAAGAACCAGAACCACTGTTCATCTCGACAAAGACCTCTTCACGGAAAGAATGAGAATCGTGGGTAGAAGAAATTGGAATGGGGAAACGAAGGAATCATGGGTAGAATGAAAACTACTGGCGGTAGTCAGCATACCTACACAACAGATGCGAATTTCTGTAGGACGACGAGGTCGTACAACCAGAGACTACTTGTTCTACTACTAGTGTACTTGATTCAATACAGCAGGATCGAGCTATGGTTCGGACTTCGGATCTTCAGACACTTGGATTTAATGGATAGTATGTTTGTCATCAATTCCACCGGGTATTTGCTGTGCAGAACGCACGGCAAAAAAAGAGTGGTGGATCTGACGACGCGCATGAGAAGTTGTCATCAGTTGTTCCAGTTTCCGTGGATTCTTTCCCTGCTGATCGTCTTCCAGTCCGACCGCCTGTGTAGTGTGTTTAGAAGTGAGCTTGTCATGCAACAAGGGCAACATACAACGATAGTAAAGATCTTCCCTACACATACATGCAAGATCAAGCGGATTAGTACTTACATGATCGCAGTCATATGGGTATGTCATTGCGCGTTGGTTTTTTTCTGCGTAGGTATTTTCTGTCAGACATCTAAGGAAGTTTGTCCAGCATACGCAGCCTGATCGTTGTAAACAAGATCAAGCCGCTTAGTAGGACACTTACTGCGAATGTTTGAGAAACGGTAAAACGCTGTTCTCAAAGGTTGTCATCATGAAATGTGCCACATAAGTTTGTACTCCAAATAAAGCATGTACAACGAACTAATCGATGCCACAACGCGGCACCGCCATGTTGCTCAGAGAAGATAGCGAAAACCTAGAAAATGTGTGTGCTCCATGGTTTGACCCGGGAGTTTGGCCGCAAAGCGACCCTACAGTGCAAGATTCTGTAGCCTCAGATGGCAGAAAAATCAGGCACGTGCTCCTACCGCGACAAGGAATATGAAGCCAGAGTGATTTGCTAGGAGCGCAAACTGAAAGTGAATCCAGCTTGCACTCGACCAGCGCCACTCTTTGCTCTAGGATGTTGCCGAACCTGCGACACCACAGGCTTTCTGAAGTAACTCAGAAGCCGGTGCTCAGGAACACTCGGCATCGCTGCGCAAGAGGAAAGTGAGAGTTGTGCGCAGCATGGCATCCAGGAAGTTCCTGTTGAGATCCAACCGGGACAAAATTATTCCTGTCTTGAACGTGCGTGTCAGCACGCGACAAAAAACGCCCGCTCATCAGGCGCTCGTCTCACAGATTTGTTTCAGGTGTTGATTGCTGCTAAAAATCAGCGAAAAAAAGGCTGGTACAGTGTATCCGGCACGACGAGGGAGTTGAACCAGTGGCTTTGGGGCGTCTGGACCTGTGATCTCCTTCTTTCCTCGTATTGATCCGCATGGTATCTGTTGAATTTGAATATGAAATTGTCGCTTTCGTTTTCGACGGTGAATTCCAACTATGAAGTGGGCGTTGCGAATTTATCACGCGGCACCCGCGACCGCTCGATTAATTTGATCTTTACGCAAGGTCGACATGTTGCATCAGACAGGGATAACTTAAGAGGTTTCTCTTTGGCATCGGAGCCCAGCAGGCTCCTCCCAATAGAGGTGTCAGAATTTACCAATTGGGTCATCACAGTAAATTGTCGAAGTGATTCTGCTTGCAAGACAGCGACTTCATAAATTGTTTTTCTCATGCCTGAAAATCGAAACGTACTTTTCTGGGTTGCTCTGCATGGAGATTGGCCTTCCGGAAGGCAGGGTCTGCATGAAGTCGTTTTGCGCATCCGCGTAGCCTGGTATATCCGCCCACAGCGACCCGGTCGGCGGCCGACGACCAAAGTCCGTCGGCAATGACCGCCCCAGGTTCAGCGTATCCTGTGATCCGAATCTCGACGGTAGGGTCATGCTCATATCGGGGGACACCGAGTTGCTGTAAAACCCGTCGAACTCCGGTGCGGTCCGCGGCCGGGTTCGGTTCTGTTGCGACCCGCCGCGTCGTGTCCCGCCCACGCTGTACTGACTTCGTGGCGTGCTCGCGCGACTGCGCGGCGTCCCGTGGCCGGACCGCAACCCCGTCCCGCGCCGACTGCCACCCCCGGGCGTGATTGGCCTCGGGTGCCCGTCTCGTGGGGTTTGCGCCCCGGACATCGTACCAGGAACACCGCCGTGCCGCATAATCTGGCTCCCCCCGGGGGCCGTTTGCGGGCGGTTGGCCGCGCCGCGCGCCGACTCCGGCACGACTACCGCTAGCGCGTAGTGCGCCATAGGGTCCTCCACGTGCTCGTCCTCCGGCCGGTCGATGGGCACGGACGTCGGCGACTGGTCGTAGGCCGCCTGCTCGCGGTAGTACTCCTCCAGGTCCCCCCGGCTGTCCTCCTTCAAAACCGGTCGCAGTTTGCTGATCCGGTAACTGCAGTTCAACTTGTCGTTTTCGCTGGCCACCGTGGGGCCCGTGTGCACGGGCGTGGTCTGCTGGTGGGTCTCGAACGCGTCGGCGATCTGCTCCGAGGTGACTATGTTTTTCCCGCTCTCCGGGTCTCGGACGATGGGCGCCTGAAATTTCGGCTTGTTCATCTGGTCCTTCTCCGCCTGGCTCAGCGCGGCCTGCTCGGCCTCGTACCTGGCCTTGGGGCCCTTCGGCTGCGCGTTCCGGGCGTCTATGGCGGCCTGCACGTCCTTGCGCCGCCCCTGCATTAGCGCTACGGCCGTGGCGGAGGTGAAATCCGGCAGTTTGTCTTTGTTCATGTGATAAATCGGCACACAGAGGAGGCCCACGATTCCGAGGCCCAGGAAAATGGACGTGAGAAGCAGACCGATCGTGGAAAAACCCATCCCAGATTGCCCGTCCTGGTTGTTCGATAATAATTTTTGAATTGTTTTTACACGACCGTTGTCGGTAACCGTAGCACAACAAACGTGTGGTCGGTAACTAACAGTCGTCGACAAAATGCACATTCTGCAAAAAGAAAAATCATCCCCCGCACTGTATCAGATTAACGAGATTCGCGAAAGTAGTGTTTCTTCAAGACAGGAACCGCCGTCGTTGCAGATCCACAGCCAAGAAGTAGTCTCATCATTATCGTGCGGGGGATGAGGATGTTCAAGTGCATCTTGGAAAATAAGGCCCCTCTACCTTATGGAGTTCCGATCCATTCATTCGAAAAAAAACTTACCTCGCGATTCTGAAAGAACTGGAACAGGAAAAAGCACCACATGAAGATCAGCCCGAAGAAGTAGCCCATATGGAGTTCTCAAATGTTACATTCTCAACTGTTACATGAATTTGTAATGCAAGACTGGCAAAAGTGAAAGGAGGAAGATTGCGCCTCTTGCATTACAAGTTTGGCGCAGATTTAGATGCTGTTTAGCCCTTCCGAAATTTGTCATGCGAAGCAGCTCGATCATCTGCCAGCTGAAGGCGCTTTTGCATGGCAAATTCATGTAACAGTTGAGAATGTAACGTTTGAGAACGCCATAGCCCATCTGTCGTAATTTCAATTTTTCATTTGGAAAGTAGAACTGGGTAGTCTTTAATACTTACTCATTCTGGAAGACCTAGGAACCGTGCGTAGTCGCCCTAGATTGCGATCATTTCCATGCTTTAATTTTTCGCTTAGGATCGAACTTTTTGGATCGAGTGCCGAGCATGGAACGCAGCCTTTCTACCGAGGAAGAGGATGATCCCATTATGATTGGCTCCTCTAACTCTAGCATAGCTCCTCTAAAGAATACTAATGAGACCAAGACGACGTAAAGAGCACGACTGCTATGCTAGATGTTGCCATCCGCACGTACTATCATCGGCATCGCCGGCTGCAACTGCAAGAACTCATCTATAACTAGTATGTAAATGCATGTTTACGTAAGTAACTCTGTCTAGTATACTTACCATGCATGTTCGCTGCACGTTCATTTTTGCCCCGGCGGAGTTCATGGCCTCCATCAGTTCCTGAACGTAGACCGCTTGTAGGAAGAAATCTTTAAACTCCCGCCGATCCACCTCGCGGTTGTTGTCATCGTCAATCCATTCCATAAACTCGAGCACTTGCCGTTTGGTAATTCTTCCCTTCTGCGTCCGCCAGTCGTTCAATAGATCCACAAACTCGTCCACGGAAAGCGCGCCGCTGTTGTCGCGGTCGTAAAACTCGAACAGGTTGTCCAAATCCCGGGTGTCCGTTGGGAACGGCTGATTGCCCTGCCGCCCGCGGATCCCGCGGACATCCAGCTGTTTGGCTTGCTGCTTCAACGGCATGATACCAGCGCCGAGGAATTGTACTTGTAAAGAAGCACGACGACGACAATTGCTATGGCAGCAGCGGAAACGGAGAGAAAATGGAAGTCACCAGCTACACTGCAGTTCTTCTTGCCACGGTCCTCGTGGTAGGCTGAACTTGCACGACGAGACCTCGTGCAACATGAAGGTGACACGAAGCTTTGGAATCGAACTTGGTCGTAGAACTACTTACAACTGAGGGCGAACGATATGCAAATGCAACCACAGGTTCATGCAGTAAAACTTACGAGGGGAGAATTTGTGGAACTTTTTTAGAAAAATGTTTGTCATATGCTTTCATTGCTAGGGTGATCATGCTCATCAACGGGGTCATTATACTTGGACTAGAATTGAGGCTGCTGCTTCGAAGATTGAGAGGAGTAAAGCGAAATATTGGACGATGTAATGCCACGAAAAATGTATGAACGACATGCCAGGCTGATGAACGACATTGAAGTTGTGAACGATAGTACTATGACTACGTCGTACACTAGGTGATTTCAAACCAGTACGAATAGGAAGCGGCTTTTCCTTCCGTGTTCTCGAAGATACGTAGAGGTAAGGGCGTACGACAGACGATTCTGTGTTTGTACCGCACGATATACTAGGACTAGGAGCCTTCTAGGTGTAGATTGATATATTCAACGAAAAAATCACAAAGACTGTTCAGGTTAGACCAGGACCGATTCTCATCTGCACATCCTCTTCGGTATTCCTAGTAGCGTCCGCACTGTCCCAAGCAAGATCATCTCTAGTAGTTATTCCTCCTCGCTATTCCTATTACTGTCCAAACTGTCCTTGCAGTCTGATCTCTTGGCTTTTGCACAAAATTGGCTGTGTGAACACGACAACGGATCACGGGCCTATGCCTGAGACTACGACTACCAGCAGCCCGCTACAATCCAAAGCCCGACTTTCGTCCTTGGAGTCGCACGCTTAGCAGTCTTTTTCAAGCGACCTCCTTTGTTCAATACCTATTTCAGTTCTCTAGTTCCGCTACATGGTCAGCATCTATCAGGATCGAGTTCAAATACAGAAAGACCAAGTCAAAGTGTAGATCTAGATGCGCATACAATTATACAAATGGAGTTTTGATTCGCTGAGACGTAAATAAGTTTCGCGAACACCAGAATAAGCTTAAGCAGGAGCTTCAAGCCACGGAATAAACATAAAGATCAAACAACCGACAGCTCAGAGAACCGACGTCGATATCCTCCTCTTTGGAAATAACTGAAGTTGCCATTGCTTCCTTTTCCCGTTGACCAGAAAAAAAGTGCGACGCGACAGCTGTAACCGCGTCAGAAAAACTAGTTCGCGTCTCGCGGAGGGGTCAAAATTGCGCAATATTTTTACGACCCACCCGCGGTCTAGGTCCACTTCCACTTACAATAAAAACCGTCCTCAGTTTAGCATTTCTTTGCAAATTACCTTTCGCGCCGAAATTCAGTAGTCTGTCTTGAAATCCTAGAAAACATCTTTGAAGTCAGCGTGAGCGTTAGCCTAAATCTGTATCAACATTTACAACTGTGCGTCTGCGTTGTTGTTGTTCATTCTTGGCCACGGGGATACTCCAACAAGAGCACTAACCAGGCCACGTCACAACAATAAGGTTGTTCGTTTGGTAGAATGTGAAAAAACCCCGATGTTCTTGACAACTCGAACCAAAGCTGGTGGAGGTTCTTGTTTATTTCGACCGCTTATTCTGGCCTCGCCGGCGGCGGCGTCGTGCTGTCATCTCGGCCGGATATCAAATGTAAAAAATGTCTGGGTCTGGAAGACTCATGCTGTTTTTGCATGACACAGAAGGTCTGGCGTGGAAGCTCTAGCCTCACAGGTTTCGAGAAGCTTCCGCAATGCCGAACCCGCATGAGAAATCCCCCATTTTGGTGACAGAATGTCCAAGTTGGCAGCTTTTGCTACCTATGCATGAGAGATTTTTCTGTGTTCTAAAATGCGCATCACAAGTTCGGATCCTTCCAGACCCAGACATTTTTGCATTTCATACCGGACGGCCTTGTGACATTCGCGTCCGGCGCGTTCAGGTCAATCAAATCGACCAGCCTGCCGACCCCCGCCGCTGCCTGCACCTCGGGCGGCAGGATGGTGTCCTGCCGATCCACGACCGCGCTTTTCCGCAGTTCGGGCGGTATGATCGTGTCCTGCCGCTCCACGCTACTTCGCCGCCCGGCGCTGGATGAAGCTGCGTCGTTGGTAATCAGGTCCGGCGCTGCTGCATCGCCAGGAGCTTGTTCCACAACATCCTTCGCACGACTAGTACTAGCGGGCGCAGCACCAGGAGCGGCTGCGAGAGGATCTCCCGCTAGTACACCACCGCCAGAATCGTTCAAACCGCGAATGGCGTCCGTGCCCATCGTGTCCATGGCGGTTTCCTGTCCGTTGTTCCGTATTGTTTTGGCGGTGAACGCGGACTCCGCTCCGGGGGAAAGTCCGGCTGGGCCGCCGATGGTGCTGGTTTGCCCCCCGGATTGCTGGAAAACGTTGAAGTCGGTGGGCTGGCGCCGCAGCCGCTCGATCTCCGCCTCATCCATCTCAATCACGTTCTTCATCTGCTGCTTCTCCACCTGCTCCTGCTCAAGCACGCCCTGCAGTCTCTTCGTCTCTTGCTCCAAGCCGACCAGCTTCGCAACCTCACTGTACTGCTCTTGTGCGCGCATATCCATAGGAAAACTGCATCGCACAGGCACAAGGTGAAGACTTTTTGTTTTGAAGCTAATACATGTTGAGACAACAAAATCTTCTTTCCATATATCTAACCAACCTACAAGAGAACTCGGAAGATCTGGTCCACCTGCTGACAAACTCACTAGTAACTCTGTCAAATTTTATAAAACTATCCAAGATTCTGATTTGTTTCATCACGTGTGCGAATACTGTTGTACAATTTTCTACACGGGATAACGCTGGTTCATGACGGATTTGTACTTCGCCTGCCACTCCCGGAGTTTCCCGTCCTGGTACTGCACCCGGTCCTTCAGCATGTCGCATTCGGCCTGCAACTTCGACCGCTTGATCTCGACCGCGGTTGCCTGGTCCTCGGCAGCAATAGCTTTCATGCGTTCCTTCTCCGCCAGCTCCTCGGAGAGGCGAATGCGCCGCTCCATGCGCTTAATCTCCGCTTCATCCGCCTTGACCGCACTGCCTGTAGTAGTCGTGTGAGGATTAAAACAGTCGCGTGTTAGAAAAATTTTTTGGTACTAGAAACCCCAACGATCCCTTGCCCGCCGGCGTGGTAGCTACTTCAAGACGTACCAACGAAATCCAGTGATTTTTTTCATGATGTTGAACATGAAAATTTCATATCTGCATAAGCCGCAGATGCAGGTGCAGCCCTTTCTTTACGTGTATTAGAACCACAGCTCTACTACTTTTATCAAAAAAAGTGAGTACTACCTTTCTGCTCGAGTCTGGTGGTGAGTTCGGTGACCTTCTGCTCGAGCAACCTCTTGTCGTTTTCCAAGTCGTCCAGTTGCACCTCAATCCTTTCCTTGACCGTTTTCCACGCCTGCGCCTCGCCCTGCCGCTGCATCTCGGCTTCCAGTCTTGCTTTCGTCACGTTCAGCTCGGTTTTCGACCGCCCCGCGGCGGCCGCCTGCTCCTCCATCTCCTGCTTCAACACGCGCACTTCGGATTCGTACTTCGAGATTTTCCCCTCCAGATTCTGCTTCGCGAGATCCGCCTCGGTGTTTTCCGCCCGGAGCCTCGCCAGCTCGTCCCGGTACCCGCGGACCTCTTCCGGGGACAGGTACGTGTCCACCTTCATCTGCAGCTCCGTGTTTTTCTTTTTCAATTCCTCATTCGCGCACTCCTTGGTCTCCACCATCTGCCGCAGCTCGAAAATCTCCTTGATCAAATCCTGCCGCCGCGCCTGCCCGTACTCCGCCTCCAGGTTCTCGTTCGCGGCCTTCGCGCCGGCGGACAGCAGCTTGAATGGGTCCTCCGCCCCGTCCCACACGTTCTTCACCTCCGCCGGCTCGTTTCCCATGGCGTAGTAGGAGAGAATGTCTCGCTCGTCGCCGCGGGAAGCGGGAAAGTGGCTCGGGGGGCGGAGCAGGTTGAAAATCCGAATCGCTGTCTCGGGGCCGCTGATCTTGCTCAAAGTCACACCTGGTGTGCGGGGGAGTTGTATAGGAACGGTTTCTTGCGAATACATCCTAAAATAAATCGAGTTACACGGGCGGTCTCAACACAATCTCAATCTTTTTAATGTTGACATTTCAGTTCTTATCTTTGCAACGTCGTCGTGAATTTTCTTTTATTCGCAGGTTGTGGTTTTGCCTCTCATTTTTTCAAAAAATTGACAACACGAGATTCTTCTACCGAGTAACTGCTGGTGGCTGCTAACATCCTGCATCCAGCTTGCGGTGAACAAATGGGGTTGTTTGATGTGCTCATACTGCTGCAGCCCTCCCTCCTGTACCCGCTGCATCAGCCTTATGAACCGGTCTCGTAGCTGCGCGAACGACAGGCCGAGGGCCACGGGAGCGCGCGCGACGGCGGTTTTGTTGGCATCGGTGTACCCCTGCTGGTTGGTGTCGGAAACTGGCTCGAACTCCACCTTTTTCCCGCCCGAACTCCGGCGGACGCTGCTGTCACCTGGTTGAAGAAAGAAGTCGAGTTTTTTCATTGTGACCGACGTCGCACGTGTCGTTTTTAGCGTACAAATGAGCGAAAACAAGAACTACTTTCGAAATATTTGCAAGTTGTACAAACAACTTGCACAGAGACCAAATCGCCGCCCCGATACACGTACAACACATGGGTGTGGATATCAAATTACCAGTCCCTGCGAACAATGATTCAGAGTAGGTCGAAAACAACAAGTTATTTTTCCCCGTAGAAGTACCAGGACTACCAGGACACAACTACTTACATCCTTGTCCTTCATCCTCGAAAAAATCATACCAGTACCAGCTCCTTGATCAGCTGCTATTGTCGCCCCGATGTTGATTGCGGAGTCTTCGGGAATGCCGAGGAATTTGCGAATGTCACGCTTCTACCAAATGCAAAAATGTCTGGGTCTGGAATGTTGCCGGGTTTGTCATGCATATTTTGCATGACCCAGGATGTCTGTAATGTGCGACCTAGCATCACAGATTTTTAGAAGGCTTCCGCATGCCTACTCCGTGTGACAAATGCCCTCCCCGCGTAGCGCAAACTAGACTCCTCTTGTTGGTCATGCAATGCAAATTTTTTTCGAGTCCAAAAACAGCATGACAAGTTGCAATCTTCCAGACCCAGACATTTTTGCAATCCATAGCTTCAAGCTGTCGCTCGTGCACACCTGCAAGGGCGTCATGCGGTTGATTCCATCCTGGACCGCGGGGTCCGCACGGTATTTTAACAAAAGCATGGCGCACCTTTTCCGGTTCTCTTCGCAGGCGTAGTGGAGCGCCGTTTTTCGGTACGCGTCCCGAAAATTCGGGTCGGCGGTGCCGTCGAGGAGCTTTTGGGCGATAATCTCCCCCGCGCCGGACGCGTGCGTGTTCAACACCGCGTAAAAAAGCCCGGTGCCTGTAGTTTCGTCGGGAGGTTTTATTCGGCTTTCATCCCTAGATGGAAGAAACTCAATTATTTGATGCGCCGTTGTTTTTACATGAATGTAAATGTTGCTGCCTAGTAAGCAGCGCTATAATCCGAAACTGCAAGAAAGCAGAACGATGCAGCTAAAGCGAGGTGATGCCAGGTTCTTGTACAACTGCGAGTGTTAAAAAGTATCGATACGCTGGTGTTTGTCGACTGCCTGCAGCAGTTTTGGTTTCCTCGCTAGCAGGTAGTCGATGGACTGCAGACTTTCGGAACAGCACGCGAGATGAAAGGCGTTTCTTCCCAACCCATCCGGCAGCTCCGGATTTATGCCGAACTTGAGAAGCATCTGCACCGCTTTCGCTTGCCCGTACTCGCACGCAATGTGCAGCGGGTTGCGCCCGGTGCGGTCCTGTGAAAAATTGCTCGAGTTTTTGTGAATCGGAAATTGCAGGAGCACCGATGTAGTTCGTTGTTGAAAAGACTGGATGGAAATAGAATCCACTTTCACCTTTTATTGATTCGCAGTTTTCTGTCATCATGAGCGAAAAGCTTATGCTTATCCAACATCTCTACGCTAGTACTTATCACACCTTCGCATCCATCTCTGCGCTGTGGTCTGCCAAAAGCTGAATGATATCCACATAGCCCTCCTTTGCCGCCATGTGCAGCGCTGTTTTCTTCCCGGTATCGGTTGCTGTTAGCAGCCGTTATGGATTGCAAAAATGTCTGGGTCTGGAAGGTTGGAACTTGTGATGCTACCTTTGGACTCTAAAAAAAGCTGTATTGCATGACCAGCAAGAGGAGTCTAGTTTGTGCTACGCGCGGAGGGCATTTGTCATGCGCAGTAGGCATCAGGAAGCCCTCTAAAAATCTGTGATGCTAGGTCGTGCATTACAGACATCATGGGTCATGCAAAATATGCATGACAAACCCAGCAACATTCCAGACCCAGACACTTTTGCATTTGATAGCCGTCGCACGTGTGATACGTTTTTCTGCAACAAGGCTTTTACTCTGGTGTATGGAAGCGTCAGAATCGAAAGTGACAAAATCGAAAAATTTGTGATGCACAAAATCGATGTCAGTTGGAGCCTCAGTTGGCGCATGACAAACTTCGGGAGCACCCAAATCCAGTTTGTCATGCTGTCTGGGCAAAGAAGACTCCTCCTGTCATGCTACTCTTGCAGCGCATTGCATACCCCTAAACAGGCTTACAATCGGTCTCATTTGCCTGCTCCCCAATATAGGCCTTCAGTGCCCTACGTTTTACGCATCACAAATTTTTCGATTTTGTCGATTTCGATCCTGACACATCCATATGGTGATGTCACCCTGTATCACAGCGCGGTGGAAGGCAGGTATCTGGTCGAGGTCTTCGAACCTGTATTGCCAGTACCAGTAGTCGTATAGAATAAAGTTTAGTGTGTTGCACAAATTAGTTTTGGTTTCAAAAACTTTAGTGACCGCAGAGTAAGAGTATTGCGTTGACGTGATAAAAAAACATCCTCAACAAATATGCGAGCCACTATATCACACCTCATCTGCGACTCTTTTTTCTGCAGCCGATCTGTCAACTGCGATCGAACATCCGGCGGCAAGTCCTGATTCGTCACCGCTTTCCACTCCTCTTCGAAGGCCGGCATCGAGGCGTTTATAACGGATATTTCTTCCTGCGACAGCGACGGCACGCCCTTCTTCATGATCCGACTGACCAACCACCGCTCCAGCGTCGCCGCGGGCGGCGGCCGGCTGGATGAAGTTGCCCCGCCAGCCTGGCTCATGACGGTCAGGCGCCAATAGATTCTTGCACCAGACAAAGCTGGTAGTGGTTGTAAAAGGCCCGAGCTCGGAGCTTGCTACATACTGATAATGTACTGCTCAACGAAAAAAATGCTCAACACCAGGGACGAGAGAGGCACAAGCCGGCGGATTTGAAGATGCAGATTTGAGAAACACGAAAGCAAAGCGCACAAAAAAAAAAGAGAAAGCGACGCTCTGAGACCCAGAAATCAATGGATTCCGCTCGGGCAAGGTCGTTTAAGGTTTCCCGGGAAACCTTCGGCTTAGCTCGTGCTAAAGTGTGTTGCAATGCAACCGAAAACGCGGCGCGCGCATGGGCTCCACAGCTGTTTGCGTGCACAACCGCGCCGCGTCTGTGTTGGCGTCTCGTGTGCTTAAATCGCCACAGTCGGCTGCGGATTGCGCGCAACCTGGCGGCCCCGGCAAACCGGCGCACATTTTCGCCTGGCCTAATTTGGGCCGCCTCGGAAGGGCTTCCCCCGGTGCTACGACCCCGGTTTGGCCAGGGGATTTCCCAGAGGACCCGGCAGAGGACCCGAAGATCCTCTCCCGGGTCCTCTGGCCCAATTTGGGCCGCCTCCGAAGGGCTTCCCCCGGTGGTACGACCCCGGTTTGACCAGAGGACTTCCGAGAGGACCCGGCCGAGGACCCGCAGATCCTCTCCCGGGCCCTCTGGCCCAATTTGGGTCGCCCCGGCAGGGCTTCCCCCGGCGGTATGGTCCGGATTTGACCAGAGGATTCCCCCGGGGCGCGGGCGGATCCCCCGGAAAGCAGGCGGATTTCCCTCAGAACAGGCGGATCCCCGGGAAGCGGGCGGATCCCCCGGAGAACAGGTGGATCCCGCGGGAAGCCGGCGGATCCCGCGGGAAGCCGGCGGATCCCCCGGGCCGGCGAAGGCGGATCCCCGGGGTTTGGGCGGAGCCCCCGGGGAACGGGCGGATCCCCGAGTAACAAGCGGATCCCCTGGGCGAAGGCGGATCCCCCGTGGAACGGGCGGATCCCCGACTAGCAGGCGGATTTGAAGATGCAGATTTGAGAAACACGAAAGCAAAGCGCACAAAAAAAAAATTAGGCCTCGGCTAATCCTAAGCCTAAACCGCTCACAAAAAATACCCTTCGTGCTCAACAACTCTCTACTGGCCTCGTCCTCTCACAAAGCCCTTGCTTTGATCCCTCACAGCTGCAGCTCTCAGTCATCGATTTCAAATTCAAATGCGAGAAGTAAAATAAAACGATACTAAAGCTGGAAACAGAGGCTCGTGTGAAACAAATCATAGTTTCTCTTTGTTCTGTCATGAGTGGCAGGCTCACGATGCCGTCGTGGTGCTGCAATGGCGGCGGACTTTTCAGAAACTCAAGCCAGATTCGTCTCCTCTTCGGCGAGGCAAAGGAAGGAGACGATCGTAGTTGCCCATGTGATGTTCATGACCGCACCGGTTTCTTGAAAGAACCTAGATTTTTCGGTAGTTCTTGCTACTAGTACTGCTAGTCCTAGTGAACTAAAACTGAAATAACTGCCGGGTTTCTTTTTTATTTCAATCTTCGCCTCAACAGACAAGTTCGCAGCAGACTACTTAGAACGTGAACGACTTCAGCCGCCTCATCCTATCAGCTTCGAGTTAGCCCGGTGTACAGCTTTGACTCTTCTGTGCAGTGTCTCCAGTGTATGAGAGTGCACAACAACTCCTCCTACCCTTCATTTGAACGGTAACATGATCCACAGCAATTCAATAAAGATGCATGCTTTGCCTGACAAATTCCTACTTAAACTTAGTTTCTATCAGTACTGCCTCGCCTTCCCGAAGCTAACAATGCATCTTTTGTAGTGGACACCCGCACCACCCAGCGCCACAGGCCGAAGCTATCATAAAGCTGCGTTCACCTGTGAGCATTTTGCATGGCAAATGAGAGGGAGAGGGACTTGTGCAACAATGTGATACATCGGCCCCGTGAACGCGTCATTCAGTCGCACGACGACCACCACTAACCGAATAACCCGCAATACACTCCTCGTGATGTCCACGCTCACTTCGGTTCTCGTGACGGACTTTTCGTCGAACAGGCTGGTGCAGTAGTATTCAGGGCAAAAGAAAAACTACACCCATCCGTCCCCATCCACTTTTTGCAAGAGACATAATAACACTGCTCTTGAACTTGATGCATGTTTATGTTTTGCATGACAAATTGGATGGGGATCAGTGTTTTTTCCTTGTGATAAGTACACCAAGAAATATACGACGTCGGAGAACAGGACGATGAAGAGGTCCAGTTTGTGGAACAAAGAATGAAAAAACCGTTTCCCGAACGTGAAAATGTTCACCGCCACTTCCATCGTGAACATGAACAACGTCAGGAGGTCCAGCTCGGAAAACCACGACTCGCCCGTCGCCGACTCGATCACCAGGCCGCTCAGGGAGCCCACGTCGATCACGACGATGGACAGCACGCAGGCGAGCTGGAAGAAGGAAAAGGCCACGTACTGGTTGAAAAATACCCGCAGCATCTGATACACTTCTTCCTCCTCCTCCCCGGTCATCCAGCCCGGACTCGTGGGGCTGCCCGCCTCGCCACTTCGTCCCCGGTGCACCGGGGACCAGAGCCCCGGGTGGGCGCGCTGGGCGGCGGACTCCCGCCGCCCTCGGGTTTGGCCGTGTAGGTGTCCATTGTCCTCGGTTTGGTCGTCGTCGTCCTTGGAGCTGCTGACGTTGCCCCTGTTATTTTCATCCCGGGTCAGCTGTCGGCTCGCGGGACCGGACCGGGGGGACCGGGGCAGCGCGAGAGCATCGTCGTCGAGCAAACGCTGAACAAGGGTGCTGGTGGTGGATATTTCGTTTTGGTTCTTCGTTTTGCGTTCCCGCTCGTCTTGACTGCCGGACATTTCTTGAAGAAGCATACGGGGGGAGGGCGGTATGTCGCAGTTATGGGTATAGAAACGGAAGTCGCGATCTGCTATATCCAGAACGCGAAAGAAAACAATGGGCTACCTCCGCAAAAATTCGTGCAACCTCGGGTAGTTCAAGTTCGTCGTGTACCACTATACGCAGTACATGTACTTAAATGCTAATCGGGGGTAGTGATTACTCGTGAAAGAATTTCCATTTCCTTGATGGCTTTATCCTGCTCGCAAATAAAAAGTCAGACCCGAAGAAATTTGTCAGTACGAATGAAAAAACGTCGATAGTCCCTTGTTCTGCAGCGCCCTCCCGCTCTCATTCAAAAAAACAACTGACTCTGGTACTACAGACACTGAAACACGGGTAGCTTTTCGCCTGGAAATTATTCAGATTCAGAATCACTGTCCAAGACAGGAAAAATTGCTTCTCTGTGCGTCGTTCCGTTCCCTTCACTTAAATGTCGCTTTCGTTAGGTGTGGTTCTACTAATTCTGGTCCAAATTCGCCGTCTTCAATCCGGCACGACTGGTAGTTTGTTTTCCTCAAGCACCATACCTAGATACGTGAGCACCGTCGGATCGGTGGATTTCTTTAACATGTGGCGCAAGACCTTGCTTTTCTTCGCCAGCCTCCGCGTCTCCCGGTCCGCCGTCAAGTGCGTTAAGCACCGGCAGATGTGCCGGTGCAGTACTTGCGTGTGCAACGACAAACGCGCTTCCTCGCCGTAAATGGAGTCCTTTTCGTCGAACACGCCCTCCACTTTCCCCTCCAGTCCCGCAATGAGAAACGCGAAGATGCTGGTTTTGCGCGTCAAGTACGTGCGGAAAACGTCTTTGCGGGTCAACTCACACAGAATCTCGAGCAAGATGTCTAAAAAATGCGGCTCGAGCCGCATGCGGCGCAGAACCGTTTGCGTCAGCTCGCCCACCTCGTGCTGGTCCGCACCTGGGGTCAGAATCTCGTCTTTCCGGACCAGTTCCCGAAAGGCGAGCAGCAAGGGCTTCGCGAAGAACAACCCGTACACACTGGAGAGTAGTAATAGCATGCGATCCCGGAAACCGAGGAAGACACGGTAGAGCAACTCTTGCAGGAAGGGAAACTTCATCGCCTCCGGTTCCGAATTCAGAAACGCCATCTGCCTCAGAAACAGCACGTTTCCCTCCGAGGTGCGGAACTGAAAGCGGAGAAAACTCGCCAAGCTTTGCGTCAGCTTGTGTTTCGCATTCTTCGTCAAAGCAAGTTTTTCCAGCCACGGCGCCAGCACGCCGAACACTTGCGGTTCGGAGAAGGTCAAAGTCCAAAGTTCAAGATCGAGCTGCAGCAACATCTCAACCGGATACTCGAGAATCCGCTGGAGTAAGAGAATCTCCTTGGCGCGCTCCCGGTAGAAATGCAGATCTTTATCTACTCCAGCTTTGGGGTCTGCTGCTGCTCCTTGCTCGTCTACGAGCTGTAATCGTTGCTGTGGAAATGAATTTTCGGTCCCGGCCACAGATTGTAGTAGATCAAGATCTTTGCCATTACCGCCGTCCGCTCCTAGTTCGCCATGATCGATGCTGTTTTTCAGCCCGAGATTCATCATCAAAAAGCGCACGTCGTCTCGCAAATTCGCGCTGCTATACTCTCGATCACGGACGCGCGCAGACAGCAGGACTTCGTTTTGTTCTTTCTCCTCCAACTCGGTTTCTCGCGGTATTAACGGGGTCGGGATAGAAGTTGTGGTACCTACAGCTACACGGGTGGAGGACAACGCTGGGGCGGCCGCTGGTGGAGGACGACCACCGCGGAGAGCTTCAATGCTATCACCTGCGAATTCCTCTCGGCCGAAGGTAACTTGCCCTGCTGCAAAGCCTTGTTGTTCGTTATGCAGTTCCCCTGGAGGCGTTATACTTGCCGACGAAGAATTTGATGCGGCACGCTGCAGTATTGGGCTGCGCACTGGCTGGTGTTCCAGTCGTCCACCGCTGCTTTGGAATGTGTCCTGTGGACTTGGTAGCATCGGTGTCGAAAACAGACCAGCATTTTTTGTGGCCAAACCCGGTGGTGAGAGTTGTGCAGCGGGGGTACGGTGACTCTGCAGGTCAGCGGTAGTAGGGCTATTAACCGGCGGGCCACGGGCTCGCGTGTCGTCGTGTCGCTGCGACTGCGAGAAAACTTCCCGCCCATCCATTTCACCCAAACTGGATTTCTTCTCCTGCTGGCGTGTACCATTAGTAGTTCTAAGCAACCGCAGACTGGGGTTATCTCTCAACAGCCGTCGCGTCTTCAACTTGTCGTAGAGCTCGAGGCCGTAGTCGCGCGCGAAGTACCGTCGGATATCAAGTGCAAATATGTCTGGGTGTGGAACTTTGCTAGACTTGTCACGCAGGTTTTCCATGATCCATATGATCTGTAATGGAGTACCTAGCATGACAGGTTCCGTGAGATCACTAGCACCAAATATAGCCGCCGGGGCGGGGGTAATGAGGTCACGCCGGGTTTTTTTGACTTGGCCGGCGCCGGGTCCTTTTGCTCTGGGCACAGGAGAGACGTTTTCCCGCACGCTATGGCCCCACAAGGCCCTCCGCCAGGGTCGGCCTTATGGGTCCCCCAAATCGGGCGCATAGCATGCGGGTTAGCTTGCTCCTTTTGGCGGCATTTGCGTTCTTTGATTTTCTTGTTGAAAAGTCGAGCCCCTCCCGCATCCAGAATCGAAACGCTATTCCGCACGCTATGGCCCCGCCTGGGCCTCCATCAGGGCAGGCCCCCTGGGCGCCCCAAATCGGGCCCATAGCATGCGGATTGGCTTTCATACTTTGGCGGCCTTTGCGTTTTTTGTTTTCTTTTGTTGAAAAGTCGCACTTTTTTGCCTGTTCTCCGCATTACAAATGCCCGATTTTGGTGGCCGGCTTTGCGACCTCGGAAAGTCGGCAAAAATGGCGGCCATACCATGCGGATTCGCAGCTTTTTTCGTCTTGGCATTTTTTCGGGCGCCCCTTTCTGGGCGCCCGAAACCGCCAGAAACTAAGGCGGTCGGCGCCTCAGAAGGGCGCCCCTTTTGCCGGCTCCCCTGCGTCGTTTTATCAAGTGCGAGTCGATAGCTTTCGACCGGGCTTGTTTGTTGGCAAAGCCCCGGCCGCTTGATAATTGAAAATTTTTTATGCCCAAAAACACTTCCGGCAGCTTGAAAACTGCCGGTCGTTTTGCATTCATAAGACCTGGCAAAAAAACCGCTAGGATAGAACGTTCGTGACCTCACTACATATCATAATCATTCCTATCCTGCATGACAAACTGCCTCTCAACTTGATCAAGAGCGGACACCAGCATTTGGTAATCATGCAACACAGATTTTTGCTTTTGCATGATTCTGACTTAGCATGACAAGTTCCAACCTTCCAGACCCAGGCATTTTTGCAATCCATATCGGTTTTCCCGGTACAGGTCATGCAGTTCCCAGAACAGACAGGCCGGCTCGACCAGAATGGGCTCCCAATACTTGGAGAAATCCACTTTTTCCACTTTTGAAACAGCAGATTTAACATTCCTAACCCCCGGATAGTAGGATTCGGTTTCAAAATCGTGCCTCTTTTCCCGTTCCCGATCCGCCGCTTCCTGCTCCAACTGCCCCGTTGTTTCGACGACTTGCAGGAAAATCTGCATGGTTAGTTCCACTTTTTTACAGCTCAACTGTAAACTTTCTTTATCTTCGAAAAGGTCTTCAACATCTTGCTGCGTCCCTACCCGTGGTTGTTTGCCCCTAGTACTCTGTTTGCTTTCTGCCAGATCTGAAAAGCTTCCGCACGAGTGAAAGAGGATTTTGAGCAGGACGAAAAGCAGGCCGTTGTCGAGAAGCATTTCCATCATCCTCACGGAAATAGCAGCAGCCGCACCTTTTTCGAAATCACCGATTCTGTCCACGCAATCGAGAATGTTCTCCAGTATCCTGATTTGAAGACGTGCGTCGCTAGCTGAGCCGAAATGCAGCAACGCGAGAATCAGACAAATTCCTCGGGACCGAAGTGTCGCTTCTTGTTTCATCTCCGGAGCTGTGGCACGATACTGTGGATCTTCCTTGCGTACAGTTACACCATCATCTGCCGTGCTTGCAACTACCATTTCTGTTCCGCTATTAGTTATTTCCACCGCAGCCCCGGCCATGTTTCCGGTGACGCGACCCCCGCGTAATTCGTGCACCCCTGCTGCTTCGCGCGGATGTGTTTCATCTTCATTCTTCTTCCCCACCCCGGAAGATGAGCCATGTCGCAGTGCCTGGAGCGCGCAATCGCCAAAGAGGAAGTCCAGGAGCGATGATTCCTTTGACGTAAAGTCCAGTGCGTTGTGGATCACCTGCAGCTTCCCCTCGATCTCGTCCAGATCCACTTTAGTGGGTCTGCCTATCCCGGCCTTTTGCGCTGATGACTGAAGTGCAAGAACGACCTCACGATCGTCGGTGGCCTCGTCCACACGTCGATCCAGACTGTGCGCCTCGTCAAAGCAGCACTTCACCACGGAGTCCGCGACAAACGAGTCTTCCACCGTGAGCGTCTCCGGCACGAAGTAGCCTTCCGGGTGTTTCTGCAGCCGGAAGAAGCTCCGGGGCGGCTTCTCGCCCGGGAAGAGGCGGTGGACCTTATGGGATTCTCAATTGTTACATTCTCAACTGTTACATGAATGCGTGATGCAAGAATGGCAACAGGGAAAGCCGGATCTTGCAACTCTTGCAATACAAATTCGGCACAGATTCTCATCCTGTTTAGCCCTCCCAAAATGTGTCATGCGAAGTAGCTTCAGCTTGTGGACGTTGATGCTCGTTTTGCATGACAAATCATCTAACAGTTGAGAATGTAACATTTGAGAACGCCATACACCTGCCCCTGTATTTCGAGCCGGAGTTTCCGCACCGTCCAAGAAGGATCGGCGAGGAGTAAAAACTTCGTCGACGCATCGTACTCGACGATCAGCTTCATAATTTGTCGTTTTTAGTGAACCTCCGAAAATAACCTACTTTTCAAACAAGCCGAAGTGCCGTCCTGTGCAAGGAGGACACCAGGAAGATGCAGCTCCTAGTACTTCTCCAAAAAAAATTTAGGACTACGCAGAGAGCGACCAGTGTGCTCTGCGGTTTTGATAACCGCTCACTCAAAAAGCCGCTTTGCGTGGCACTCAATCGATTCGCTTCTCGTCTCCTCGGTTCTCTCAGCCACGAGACGCTAACGCATGCCAGAGGCATGGACAAAAGTTTACCGCTCATCGAACACTGCGTGGGCAAAACCAACATCCAAACCCGCGTCGAATCACGGACAAGAAGAGAGACAGAACTACTCCGCTCGTTTCCAGTAATTGTGAAGTTTCCCCAAGGGGAGCAATATGCGCACTTCCTAACTTCTTCTGTGTAGCAGCAGTTGTTGTCAGCTCGAAGTCAATATCTCTGAGAAGTGGTCGAAGTGATGAAATTCCTTATCCTCCTTCTGGTTGAGATCACTCTCAAGCTCTGGCCGATCAAGAAAGCTTTTCAGACATTTCTTCTAAATGATCGCTTAATCGAACAAGTCGAATTCCATCTCCTCTTCTTCTTCCTCCGGCGGAGCATCGTCCTTCTTCTCTTCGCCGGCGTCACCGCCCGCGGCACCGCCGGCGGCAGCGCCACCAGCCGCGGCAACGCCGCCACCACCACCTCCACCGGCCTTCAGGATAGCGCCGACATCCTGTTTTTTTGAGAATTTTGAAAATTTAGATACCATAACACAATATCGGGCGGTCGTACAGACGCATAGTACGGCAACCAACTCTAAACACGATTTATCCTCACTGCTTCAACAAAAATCCAAATCACAGCAATAGAAATACCTGTCCCTGGCACATCTTGGAGAAGAGCGCCGGCCAGAAGCCCTCGACGGAGCAACCCGCAGCCTTGATCAAGCTGTTGATGGCGTCAGCGGTAATATCGGCACCGTCGTCGTGCAGGATCAACGCAGCGTAGGTGCACAGCAGCTCGCCCTTCTGCTCCGGGCTCAGGTCAGCGACGGGAACGGTGGCCATGTTTGGAGAGTGGAAAGGTTGATTTCTCTAGGTATGAACACGTCCAGAGAAACGCTCCTTATCCTAGGAGAGTTCTTCACAACTATAGGTCCCTGAGAAGTGAGTGAAACATATTGCGATTGGAGGTTTCGAGTAAGAGATTTAGATGAGCAGAATCTTCTCGATCGTACGTGTAGGCCGCGGGATCTTGCAGTTGCATTTCTTTCGTAGTTCGTCTAGATCGCACCCAAACACACATTTCTCCAAATCGCGTTCACGGCCGGATCATTGCGATCGAAATTTAGATTCTTCCGAGCAGCCACACCAAATGAGCATCTTCAGCTCCAAGATGTTCTCGTTTTCGCGATCCGCAAGACCTTTATTTCTTCGAAGCGTTGATCAAGATTGTTCAATTCTTAGAGACGGAACGCAGACTCAGTCACTCCTTGCATAATCGCAAAGCAGCGTTACACACCGACAGAGACCATCCACATTGCATGATGGGCAACATGATCACGCGAACACAAACTAAATCGAAATCAATTGCGCACTTTCCGACAAGCAGCAAGTATCCCGGCTGCGTCGACACGACCTCAACCTCTTCTATTCAGAACTTAGCTAGAGCCACACCACCTAAAACTCATGTTCTCAATCTGGTTTAGTCCCAGTGTCCGGAGGCAGAAGTACTTATCAGACAAGCAGCAACTCCCTCAATGATCTTCAACGATGAGTTCTACTTCCGCTTTTGACTGTTCACATATGAAAACCCGAATTGACGTTATATTTGAGTCAGATTTCGAAGATTTAGATGTTTAATCGAACAGATCGAACTCCATCTCCTCTTCCTCCTCCTCAACAACTTCTTCCTTCTTGGCCTCCGCGGCCGGGGCATCGCCACCAGCACCGCCGGCCGGGGCAGCACCGCCGCCACCGCCGCCGCCTCCGAGCTTCAACATGTCGCCCAAGTCCTGTTTTTTTTTCACACAGAATCGATGTAGGTCAAGTTCATGATGTCGTCGTAGTGCGCGAAAAATTCAAAACGAGGCGAGACTGAGACTGAAAATGAGAACTCGCGGAAGGCACAAATATGCAAGCAAAATGAATCGCGTCCTGAAAATAAAGCTTCTTCGCAGAACAAACCTAAAGAAATCAGAACCAATCTTGTATAGTAAGTACCTTTCCAGCGACCATGCTGGAGTAGAGCTTCGGCCAGTAGGACTCGACGGACAGACCGGCGGCCTTGATGACCGAGGTCATGGCGTCCGCGGTGATGTCAGCCTCGGAGTCGTGGAGGATCAACGCCGAGTAGGTGCAGATCAGCTCATCCTTCTGAGCCTGGGACAGCTCACTAACCGGAATCGCCGCCATGTTGTTCTTAGGTGTGTGGGTAGGTGACTAGCTGCTCTAAACTAGTGTCCCTGGGAGTAGAGAAAGGATGTGGGTCGATGACGAAAAAAGCACTCATTATGAAGGGAGTTCTTGCAGAAGAAAATTAAAGCAGGATCTCGACAACTTCAGCATCTAAATTTCAACTCCGAAGTAGATCCATTCTTCTTTGAAACGCGATTTAGTTTTCTGATCTGTGTCTAAATTTCGCCGTTTCGCTCGTTGTGGGATGAACCTTCTAGGCCTCTTTAGATCATTCGGAGAACGTGTGTTTTGTCAGAAGGTCTCCAAAGCTTTTGTTCATCACCAACTTCAGGTAAAGTAGGTAAGGAATTCGCAGTTTGTTCATCACGTCAAGGCTGAGGATGCGGATCTTTAAATTCGTTTACTGTTTCATCACGGATCGATTTCGTCAAGAGCGTACAGAAAGGGGAGGGAGCCGAGATCTTTAAATTTAAATTTGGATCTGTCGCATGCGCAATCACGCTTGCTTCTCGCGACGAAAAAGAAGCTTCACGTCAAGCACTGCTACTGAGTTCACAGATTGATGGCTTACTATGAGCATATCATCGTGACCCAGAGTTGAAGACCGACAATTCGAATTTGTGTTCCTTGCTTCGTCGGCTCCTGCTCGAATCCCAAAGACTCTTCATGTGCACAGAAGAACAGAAGCATCTTGATCGCAACCCGGCACCTCGCCTGCTTCGTATCCGCCGATTCAGATCTGGCGATTCGGGTACCTCGTAGAATGATGTATGCCTCACAAGCAGTGTGCGTCTTCTTGATCTGAACGAAACCCTGTCCGGAGGGTGCCGCCCGATATTATGCAAGACGATCTCGGATCTAAAGACAGCCGTGTGGCGGTAGCAGCATTTCAAACAATTTGTACATTGTACTCTGATAACTCCAATATGCCGAAAATCATGGTATACAATTTCTGTGAAAAGGTTTACGAGAATAACGGTGTCAAAAATTCCGATGCAAGGATGTGAAAAGTTATGAAACAAGCTACATCAAGAACCCACTACAAGTAAATAAAAGCAACTATGTAAACATGCGTTTCAGACCACGCCCCAGAATGGTACTGCGACTATTCCAAATTTAGAAAAAACCTGATTATGCCTCGATCCCACCGGGATCCTCGTATCAAATTCTTACTCAAAACACTCCGTTCTTACACGAAAAACCCCAAACTGTTGTTCTTCCCCGACTTCTCCAACCCGTTCGAGAACGGCTGCGCGTGGTCAAAGTCAATCGGCGAAATGCGCGTCCGGCGACTCCGGGACGGGCTCATGCCCCCCGCTCCCGCGGAATTCGAACCCGAGGCCGTTCCCCGCCCGACCGTCGTGGATCCCGGGCGGGTGCTGAAGTTCCGGGCACTGCCATTCTTGTCCAAAAACTCCACACTGCCCGGCAGCATTTTCTCCGTTTTCGGCGATTGTTCGAAGGTCGGCGGGGAAACTTCCTCCGTTTGCGAGGAAAGTGCCGCTAGCAGCACGGACGAAGAGGGGGAGCGACCGCTTGCGAAAGAGCTGTACTTCAGACTCGCGTACTTCTCCATGGTGCAGCGCGTCCGGGAAGGGGGCGTGTAGAGCTGGACACTTTCCTTCGGGGTAGTCGTGTTGTTTTTCATTGCTTCGTTCTTCTCCGCGGATGTTTTTGTATTCCCCAACAGTGCCTTGTGATCATCTTCTACTTCGTCGACCGAGCAAGAGTTGTCAACATCCAGCGCAGTGTCCACCTCCAGCATTTCCTTCGATTTCACCTGACTCTTCCCCGATCCCAGCGCTGCCTCCTTGCTGCCGCTGGCCTTCTGCGCTTTCTTCTTCGTGGTCCTTTCTGGGGTTTTCTGCTGACTGTTCTTTGCTGCCGCTGCTGCAATCAGTGCGTCCATTTCGATTTCGACCGAGCCGCTGGAAGAAGATGAAGATCCTTTCACGGGTGAGGAATTCTGCGAGCGGCTGTAGAAAACTGCGCGCTTCACGCCGTCTGCGCCGGTGATCGACTGCACCCCGATCGGGCGCCGCGTCTTCAACATGTCCTTCGCCTGCTCACTGGATTGGTGGGGGAGTGGGGCGAGAGGGCTGTTGAAGAGGTGCGATTTTTCCTGGTTGTCGTTGTGTTTTGCTGGGAGAAAATCATCGCCTTCCTCGTCGGACACAACGAGATCCAGACAGCGAACCCCACCGAAGAGAAGTTCACCATCGTCGCACGGAGCCACGATCAAAGACCGGATGCGACGAAGAAACCTGGTTGAAGAGGTTTTTTGATGGGGGAAATCCAAAATCTAAATCTGGATCTGCAAACACAAATTGTAAAAGTGGGATGCAGGTATGGGTGAAACTGCTATCATTTAAGGACGAGAAGAAGTATAGGGGACTACACATGAGTTTCAACAAAAACGCCAGCATCTTGAAACACATTCACTTACGGCAATCGTTGCATGATCCGCTCCGCCGCTTTTCGCAGTGGTGCAAACAGGCCGCCCTGCTTCGAAGATCGCCAGGTGAACGCGACCTGCGTCATGAAACTCAGGTAACCAACTGAAAGAACGAGAACGCCAAGCTTCAGAACTGCAAGCGCCAAGGCCCAGTCGCCTTCCCCTGCAAGGGGAGGAACCTCCTGGTGGTTGACGAAACCGCGCAACGGCATTTTGTTACTTGGGAATAAGTGGCTTCAAAAAAAGGGTGCTCTACTTCGGAGACTTTTCTCCAATGGATTCCCTGCAGGAGTAGTTTCCTCTATTGTTTCTCTTCGCTGCTTTAGCATAAGCTACAGAGCATGTTGCCACGACCGAAAGCACGATTTGGAAGTGTAAACGAATCCGGACACGAGCACAAGTTCTGCACGATCTACGTTTTCTTCCCGGAGGTACGATCTATTACGACTGATCCATCAGCATTCAAAAATACGACACTACGAAGGAGATGGGGCCAGCAGCGCTGGCATGACGATTTGGGCGGTTTCCACGACATTTCTAAAAGCAATAGCGCCAGCACAACATGACGACGTTTTCTGTTGTGCAAGAAATTAAGTAAAGCACAGAGCAAGCATCAAGAGGACGAAATATTTTGCACCTGCAACAGCAGTTTGCCTATGGCTACATGGCTCTGTACGCAAGAACAGCAAGAACAGACTTTAATCACGTTTATCTTTATTCAAAACTGAAGTGACTGTGACACCCATGATGCACCCATGAATTCTTGTTCGTCCGCATATTTGGAACGGGATACTGTCTCATACAACTGCTTTCGCTTTACTTACTTTCCGCTACGCCACGCCGCGTAGCAGATTCGATGTCGAATCAATTCCGACGAGTAGTTCCTTCATTTGCACTTGCAACGAATTTAGCAGATCTTTCAAACTACTTACCGCCCGACGCATGTCCTGCACTGCCACTTCGGCGTTTCGCACCCGCGTGTGCGCGTGCTTTTTCAACTCGTCTTTTTGGATCTGAAGAACGTGTTGGCTCCTTAGCCAGTCCATACAGGGCTTCGCCGCGAGTCGCTCCTCCAATAATGTGTATAGTCGCTGGATCTTCCGGCCCTGCGCAAACACATTCTTGGCGATATTCGCATTTCCAGCCGCAGACATCGCTGCTGTCGCATTGTTTTTGCTCATGTCTTTCGTGACCTGCAGAACTTCGCGGAGTGATCTCAACGCGGCGTCGAAGGTCCGAATGTTGTTGTACGGGCGAAACAGGTCCCGGTAGTCCTCTTCGCAGGCGGAAACTAGGGTGGCAACGTCCGCGGTTGCGTCCAGATCGAACACGCCGGTAGCCTGCTCGAGTCTCGCAAGGCGCTTTTCCAGCGCGAGAAAAGTCGCCGCCTCCTGCTCCGAGTGTAGAAGGTTCTTCTTCGCCAAGCGAAGCTCGAGACTGCGGATTTGGAGTGCGGTATCGTCGTCTGCGGCAAGCAGCTTTCTCCGGATTTGCTGGAACCGCGCGTGCTCGAGATCGGGGGAAAATCGCCTTGAGGGTGCGGAAGAAAAGCTTGAAGAAATTTGTTGGTTTGATGCTCTTTCTTCCCGTCTGAACCGCTGCAGATATTTTTCGATCACTGCCGTGCGTTCGAGCTGCTTTATGGAGGTGGTTGAGCCTTGGAGTTGTCGTTGCCGAAGGAGCTCGTCCAGAGCGGTGAGGGAATCGTTTTGGAGTCTCGACGCGCTTGTCGACGTGAAGCTGGAGCCCGACTCGAGTTGGTTGCTGGTGAGCTGTTCGGAAATGAACAGATCCGCTGCTTCACATTGAAGGCGCAGTAGAGTCTGAGGAAACGTCTCTGCGCCGGTGGGTATCCAGCTCCATTCCTTCTTGATTTTTTCGGGTAGGACTTCGCCGCGAGGCTGGTCTCCGGATCCGTCGCTTTTTTCCGCGGAGGGTGCGGACTCAAAAACAGTAGCACCATTTGAGTTGGCGGCAGCTGTGTGTAGGGTTCGTCCTTCGCGTGCCATTTTTGTCTGTCCTTGAATGCGTTTTCGTGTTCCTATCTGGACACCACACTCAGTATGGCACACTGTAGTTGAGCTTCAGTACTTACGTTAGTTTGCTGGATAGGCTGGTGATGGCGCAGCCGTCATCTGAGACGCCGGCTGGTACAAGAAGACCAACCCCAACTGCAGGAGCAAAACCAAAAAGTTTGGCAGTCGATCTGAAATCCGTCGTGGGCGCGAACAACGCATGTGGTCGACCAGTGCCACGCACCAAAAAGAGAACGAAACCAAAGGCGCGCAAATATCAAAAGGTGCATGCCAAAGCATAGTCCGACTGTCCTTCGAACAACGTCTCGCGCTGCTCAAATCACCAAGCCGTCACAACCGAAGCAAGACACGGCAGCGCTCGGCCGCAATTTGCATCTCAGCAGCAGTAGTAGATACGCAAAGAAAGGGCGGGCGGGCCAGCAAGTACAAGTAGGGTGGCGCCAGAATTCCGATAATTGAAGCACCAGCTCGATGAAGGCCCGTCAGCAAAAGCAGTGCCAGGCACGCAGCATGACGGCGCCACGCCATGCGAAAACGAAACACGGGCCGCCACACCGTCGCACCGCACTGCAGACAGACTGGAAGCCCAGGGCGCGCCTGCTGCAACACAACCGGGCCCGGCGCCTGTATTTGACTTGGCGCCGCGGCGAGCCGAAGGCCCGCCGGCCGGCCGCCCCGTAGACCCATCGAGGCGGAGGCGCCGGCCCGAGATGGGGCGGGGCGCGCGCGCCCTTCTAGCAAGGCCCCGCCGGGCCACGCATTGGGGCAAAGGATGGCAAGCGTCGGCACCTTGAGCACCTCGCCCCGCCACCGGGCCACGCCCGGCGGGCCTCCAGCTGCGCGGCGCGCCGAACACAGTGCCGGAGAATTACCGCGCTGCCCCTTCTGAAAATCCGCCCCGCTTCTTCCGCCAGCTCCCCCGGGCTGACCTTCGCAAGCGACTCGGCGGAGGTGCAACCTCCGGGCCTGCTCCACGCACCCTCCGCATCCGCCGGCTGATTTAGCCATCTTCTCCGCAGAGGGCGCGCAACCGCCGGGCGGTAGCCCTTCCAAACTCTGCAACGCCCGCGGGAGCCCCTTCGGCGCCGAGCTCCAGCAAGTTGGTTTTACAACGAAAACAGCGCCGCGCCCACCCTGCCGGATCTTTGGCTGCCTGGCTGCGCCGCCCGCCTTTCTTGCCAAAACACCAAGCGCCTACGTGCTAGACTGACACAGCGCCTGCCTCGCACGCTCCCGCTTCGGACGGCCCGGCCCCTTTTTCGGGTTCTTGATGGGTTTTTCGCCTTCCCCGCTTTCACGCGCGCCATTACCAGGCGCCACGAGCTCTGTACCCGGTCGCCCGGTCGCGCAGATTGATGTGGTCCCCCAATGCCTTCGATCGCGTCGGGTTGGCTGCCTTAGCACCGTCCCGGCCCTGCTTTGCGTGCTGCCCAGTTTGCCGCCGCCTGCCCCTTCCCCGGCCGGCGGGGGCCCGGCTGGCGCAAACGGAGCCAGGCCGGCGCCCAACCGCCCCGCGCGCTCCGCCTTTGTTCTCGGTGGCCGCTTCTGCGCGCGCGGCCGATGTCCCTGCAAGCGCCCCCACCGATAAGGCCCTTGCCCGGCGCCGGCTCCTGCTTGGTTGGGTCTAAAGGGGCACAAGCGAGGGCCGGCCTGGCCCTACCGCGGCCGCCCGCCAAGCAAAGCAAAGCCTGGCGGCCCGGGCGTTCAATGCGTCGCGACCCACCCAGCCGCGTGTCTTGAAGACATTCACGGACGCCCCCGCGGGCGTCATGGCAACACCCGCGGACGTCATGGCAACGCCCCGAGTTACTACCAAGCCGGGGCGCCCCGCGTCCGCTCTATCTCCGCTACCTGCTGCATCTGCTCCAAAGGCTTGCCCGCCTCCGCCGGCTGGCCGTTTGTCGGCGCCTTCTTCATCGCCTCCCGGCCGGGCGTCGCAGGGCGACGGCAACAGGGCTTTCGTTGAAGTCTGCCTCTCTGTGACGACTCCCACTTGGCCACACCGACCCGAATGATGGAGGTCGCGCAACCTGGGCCGCCGATACTCCGGCGCGGGCAGTGTGCGCGCCCCTGGGCCTCGGCGAAAGGCCCGCGGCAATCTTCGCGGGCCCGCTTCCCACCGAAACACCGCCAAAGTTCCCCAGATCGAGGGCGGGCCCCTCGGAAGACCCTCGGAAGCGCCTGCGGCAGCCAGGCAGCGCCCCGCAGGACACTTTAGCGGCAGCAAAGTGAAGAAGTCCGAGGAGACTAGCAACTGCAATAATAGCGCACAGGCAATCCAGCTACTATCACACGGCATCCGAACACGTTTTCCTCACAGGAAATAGCGCAGGCGCACAACTCAAGACTATAGAACTGTCCAAAAATGCAATGGTGCAGGACGAGCCGTTGCCCGTTTTTCTTTTTCTTTCCAAAGTTTGTCCCAATTCTCGCAACTCCCAATATTGGGCCTCTGTAATTTCATCTAAAACAGCCATTGCTACTTTTTCCCAAGCGAAAAACACGGCTGTGTCCCAAAATCGAACTTCTAGCAACACAACCTTCTGCTTGCCATTCGCAGAATTTGGATCACAACATCTCCTCAACTGCTGGTGGTTTGACACCGTTGTAAAAAAAGCCTCTGCCGCTACCGTCGCCGGGTAGCACTTGGCGCCGCAACCAAGCGCGGGACAGGCGATTTGCACGAGCGCCAGACTGGTTGCGTTGAGGCTCCAATCAAGCGATTTTTTGACCACGGTGGCGATGGCATCACTCACCTCCGCAGTGGTACTCACTATTTCCCGACTCGCGTACACGTGGCTGATGTCGCGCGTCTCCACAATAACATCGTTTCTTTCGTCATCATCGCCTGCCGGCTTTGAATTCTCGTCCACATCCTGCTGTTCCTGTTTCTCCACATCCGGCCGATACAGTGGCAACAGGCAGTGTAGGACAAATGAGCATCGCAACGTTGCGCTAGTCAACGATGTACCCGCTCTGCGGGGCACCGGAGTTGGCAACACCTCCCCGACCCGGAGCTCCGCTGTTTCGTCAAAATCTTGCGAAATAAAAGCGATTCCCCGAAGCTGCTCCTCTTCCCTCCGCCTCTTCAATGCGCGCCGCGCCGCGTCCGCCAACATCTCCCCTCCGCATCGATCGTGTAGCGCCACATCCGCACTTTTCCTGCCCGCAAAGCCCCACCAGTTACGCAGCCGAGCACCCTGGAGTTGCCGGTTCGTGCTGGTGACGATGACCTGGCCCTCGAAATCCGCCAGATCGCTGTCTGGACGAAGAACCAACACAAAGCTGTGGCGCTGGAAAGTGCGTGTTCGCTCTGCGGGATTCGGTGCTTTCGCTTTATCTTCGATAGCTAGCGAAAAGTACCGGACCCGCCGTGCTTCCGGAGGGTGTGGAATAGAGGTCATGGGTCGTGTTTGCTAATGTGTTCTATTCATCCGGTGTTTGCTTTAAGTTATGCAGCTTCTGCGTCATGTCATTTTCGATATCAATCCATCAATCCGAACGTCGAGAAACACGAAAGCAACGAACCAAAACGAACAGATCTACAAGAACCAGTGATGTCAAGAAGAGTTGAACTACTTGCCTGTTGCTTTCAGTCATCAAATCACGCTGTTTCATGCAGTGGCATGTCTTCTTGTTCTACTTCATCTTCTTTCAAAAGAACCGAAGCCTGGGCGATCAGTTGCAGAACACGAGTAGCAGTTCCCAAAACATTTTTTGTCGCCGTCTGCGATGCTCCTTCGCAGCTGCGGTAGCAGTGAAAAGTACGCGTGAAAAACGTGAGATGCATCCGCCACACAAAACGTGCTCTGGTTGCATCTGCGACAGGTTCAAGCCTCGCTCCGCGGTCTTACGCGCGGGTACTGGTGTCAGTGTGATACTGTCATTGCTAGCAAAGCTTAAAAAAGTTTGTTGGCGTTGCGTAGATAAGATGCGCTTTGCATAATGCATTTTTTTGTTCTTTGTAAATGATCTCAACCAAATTCATGCTCAACCAGTGCGCGCGCAAACAACTATTCATCTGTCACCCGTAATTATATCGAATCATACATTTTCATTTTCGGTACTGAATTTTGGAAACGTACATGAGAACTCTCGTACATTTTCTTCAGGTACAGACATCGCTTCGCATTCACACGAAGGGTGTATTGGCTAGAAACACACAGGAAAAGTTCGGACATTTTTTTCTTGGAACTACCGGTAAAACTAAAAAGCGCGTACTTGCATACGACGAACGTGTTCCTTATTCCTTTACGGATTCTGCGGACAGCCCGGGAAGCAGGCCTTCGTCGACGCGTCAGCAAAAAAGTCCGTCATGTTCGGCAACTCCGCGTCCATGTTGTTTTCGCCCCGCTTTCCTGCGAGCATCATCTGCGGGAAGCCCAGTCCCTCGACCCGCTTCTTGTTCACTTCGTCCGCGCATGCATTGCAAATATGTCTGGGTCTGGAAGAATGCAAACTTGTGATGCACATTTCACAACACGTAAAAATCTCTCATGCATACTAGGCAGCAAAAGCTGCCCACTTTCTGTCACCAAAATAAATGGCACATTTGTCATGCGGATTCGGCATTGCGGAAGCTTCTCGATGAAATCTGTGATGCTAGAGCGTCCATGCCAGACCTTCTGTGTCATGCAAAAGCAGCATGACTCTTCCAGACCCAGGGATATTTGCATTTGATACCGCGTCGGGGCCCTCCTCCTTGATGCCCGACCCGTCGAGTCCGTCCTTTTCCAGTGTCTTCGTGGTCAAATCCGCGGTGAACAAAACCTTCCCGTTGGCCTTGTCCAGAAACGCCGGGGTAGTCGAATCCGCGTGCAGCGCCAACACACACAAACCGACATACAGTGGGGTCTCCCCCCCGGGAAAGGCGGCGACCTCGGTGACACCCCCACCCGGGTGGAGGCAGCAGGACCGGATCTTGCATTTATTCGTCCCGTTTGTCGCCTCGGTAGAGTTCAGCTCGATCGCCATGTCCCAACTCAAGCGGTCGGTCGCGCATATCAAAAGGAAACATCCCCCCTCCTCATATCCACCCCAACGCGTCTGACGTGTCTGATGCAGGATCTGCATACACAAATCAGATTTGTCTTGCTGGAGAGGAGTGCAGACCCATACTCAGCCGAAGTCGAAAGGTTTTGGCCTAGGCGTCTAGCATGAGAAACGTCCACGCTGTAGGCCCATCAGCATCACAAACCGCCTGCATAATGCTGCGGAGCTTGTGGAGTTGCCTTCTCGCAAGACAGGCGTGATTCGTGGTCTCAAATCAGCAACGCAAATTTTCGGAAACATACCTTTTCGATATGGGGAGGGGGGATGTTTCCTTTTGATAGCGCAGTGCCCCACACTGTAGCCCACGTCGAACGCGTAAATGAATCCGCCGTAGGAAGAGATTTGTATCAAATGTAAAAATGTCTGGGTCTGGAAGATTCCGGGATTTGTGATGCATATTTTGCATGACCCAGGATGTCTTTAATGCATGATCTAGCATCACAGATTTTTGGAGGGCTTCCTGATGCCTATTTCGCATGAGAAATGCCCTCTCCGCGTAGCACAAACTAGACTCCTCTTGCTGGTCACGCAATACAGATTTTTTTAGAGTCCAGAGTTAGCGTCACAAGTTCCAAACTTCCAGACCCAGACATTTTTGCAATCCATAATTTGGAGGATTAACCCATTGGTCACCTGCGCCTCGATCATTTTCGGAATCACCATCGTGCTCAGCACGTAGGAACTCCGCGCGCCGATCTCCACGTGCGCGTCAAACTCGCTAGCCGGGTGCTCCCAGAAGGGCTTGCCGAGGTAGGGGGTCATGCCGTCGAGCGATCCGCAGGAACTGTTGACGACGAGGGAAATGCCCGTGCCGGCGGCCTTTGCGGCTTCCGCGACGGTGTTGACAAACTCCTGCACTTTCGCCTCATTTCCCTTCGCCTGGTCCAGCGAGTAGGGGATCACTTTCCCGGGTCCACCCGCACAATCCTTCGCGAGCGCTTCCAGTTTCTCCGTTGTCCGCGCACACGCATACACCGTGTAACCGCCCTCGTTCGCGAGGACTTTGGAAATACCCCGGCCGAAACCGCGGGAAGCGCCAGTCACAATCGCGAATTTCGACATCGTTTTGCGGGTTAGACTCTTTTTTTTTGGCCCGAGCAGATTTCTGTGTCTGTGACGAGTCGAGTGTGATTACGAAATGAGCCCGTAGTAACTTCTAATCTTCGATACTACTAATAAAACTCCTGAGCGCGTCCTCGTTATTAATGCGATCGTGTTGATGTGGGGGTTACGGGTTTCAGATCGATCCAATTTTGAATTGATACAAAATTGAAGGGAAGGGAAGTTTGTACCGCACTTGGGACTTCTCCTTCCTGTCATCGTCATGTAGGAGCTCAGGTGGTTACTGATTTTTGCGCCTACCACCGCCCCTATCCGTATCCCCACAACGTTTTCTAATTGCTTTTGACGGGCACTCGTCGGACAGCTTTTCTTCGCGGCCACAAAGATTCACAATTTGGGAACCGACAGCTACGTCTTGTGTCCGATACTCAACAGACCTCTTTTCACTCACTCATCTTCCAGACTACGCCCTCACTGAATTATGGGCAGCACACCCCACAGAGGCAAAAAACAACAGACTTATCCAAACTTTGGCGCATATAAGAACCGCATGTCCGCCTACTAGACTGTACGTAGCAAATACGTAGCTAGTACTAGCAGCTCTGGCCTTCTTGATGTGACTGATTGATATTTTTATCGAAACCCAACCCAAAAGTTGTGTCGACCGAAGAAGAAATGTCGTTTCAGCGTGATGTTGAATAGGAGTTTGGGGCAGTACTGTTTCGTTGCCGATCCGGGTAGGACACTCCGAGTTAATATGGATATAGTTACTTCTCTACGGGTTTTGGTGTGTGGGATGTTGAAAAATACTGGTGTATTACGGATTAATGTCGATTAATTTTGGTTGCTTAGAGATGTGTTTTCTAGTCTTTGTGCGGATATAATTACTTACATACGAGATGCGTTTGCTTAATGACAAAAGTTGTAAAAGTTGAAAGTTGCATTAGTTGAAATTGGAAACATACGATTTTTCTTGCAAAACATTTGACACGACAATAAAGAAGAGCGATAAGGTTTTTAAACTTGAACGTCGAAGAGCAACATCTGCGCTGACGCACGGCCCATCTCTGTTCACTTCTACAGGGTATGTATGCTAGAATGGTCAGGGGGTTTTTATCTTGGTGCTTTTTTCTACTACTGAATCTATCCCGGGGGTCCCTTCCCAAATTTTGACTACCGCGCTTGCGATACCAAAATTACGTACAACTTTTTTTTTTGTGTGTGTGTGTGGGGTACAACTGCTAATGTGTGTGTTTTTAATACTTCTCATGCGAATAGGAGGAAATACTCGGAGTTTTAGGTTTGTGCTTCGTAAAAACAAACCTCTTTTCGACAACTGCAATACTATTGAGCTTCGCTTCTAAAACGCAACTACCTCCGGCCGATGCCCACTGGAGGGGTAAACGCCCCACCGCGCTGCACCCCTCGCGGGAGTGCGGGCTTCCCTCGGAGAACTTTATCGGCGGAGGTCGTCAACGCACGCTGCCCTCGTATACCACCGACGACGAGACTGAATAGAGTGTTTTTGATTTTAAATTTGGGGTTGCCTACAGGTACTGGTACTGGAATAGAACAAATCAACAGTCTGACTTGCTGTTCCTCGAACTTGAAGTGATTATTCTCAACGCATGCATCATTTTTGACCTTTTTTATTTGCTACATATACTCACTGCATTTGTTTCTAGAAAAAGCGAAATCCATTTATCAAAATCAGATTAACAAACCGTGTAGAACCACTAATACCTTTGTGGTTTTGACAAGCTTCGGGTTTGCTGCGGTTCCGGCGAGTCCAGGATGTCCATAGAGCTTGGGATAAGCCTCGGCAACGTCCCGGTCGACTCTGATTGGGCCATCGAGTGGTCCCCCACCCCGGGGTACTCGTTGGAACTCAACACTTCCAAATTATTGTTCGTGTAGGTCGTTATCGGCTTTGAGGTCAAGAAATGCTGGTTGTTGATGTTCGGGGAACCATGATTTGTCGTGCTGGTTGATGTACTACTATGTGCACTGGGTAGATGAGACGCGCTGTTCTTCGAGACAGTACTCGTGTTGATTCTGTTGCCCGCGAAGCTGCTCGTTGGCGTTCCTGAGGACGAGTACTGGATAGAATGCAGGTTCTGATTATGCTGGTACGGCCCCAATATCTGCTCGTCGTTGCGTTCGGGGGACAAATGGGACAAGTGCACAAAGCTACAGCCGGAGGACGCGGCCATCTGCGACCGGGCGTAGCCCATCCTGGCGTTGGTTAATCCGAAGTTGGTGCGGAGATCCAGGTCTCCCTGGTACTTGCTCAAGTGCTCCAATCGGCGCTGACACAGGTCGAGCTGGTCAATCAGCTGCTGGATGGTCGGCATCTCCTTCAGTTTGATACTCTTGCAAAACCGGTGTGTGCCGGCCGCTTGGGTACCTGATAGAGATAAAGTGATGCAGAAAATAACTGAACAGTGTAACATACATGAAACTCAAACTGGTTCAACACACATAAAGATGAGCATAACGGCATCCATAAAGACAACAATGTGAGAAGCAGGAAGTACTTAAATAAAAACGCATAATCTACATCAGACCTAGCCACCGTCTCCTGTACCTACTAACCGCAGTGTGGCCGTTCTTTCCGCGATGCCGTCGCCTACGGAGACCAGGTTCTGGTACCGGCCCTGCAATAATTCCCGCTTGAAAACGTCCAGTTTGTAGGTGAGCAGGTAGTTCATGGGCTTCGCGAAGATCGGGTAGCTCCTAATTTTGGCGTGCATGACCGGCATAAACGCTTGACAACTGGTGTCGATCCACCCCGGGGCGCTATTGGTGATGATCACTACCTTACCGTACTGCTCGGCGAGCGTCAGCTATGCATTGCAAAAGTATCGTACTAAGCGTACATTGCATTACAAATTTATTTCAGAAAGAAAAGTGGAGTTTGTAATGCTGGTTTGCCTAAGATGGGCAATTTGTCATGCATGATTGCAATTACTACGAGTAGGATACTTCTGCAATGCATATAAGCGTCTCCACAACCATCTGCGCCAGGTAGTTCAATTGCTGCACCTATGCATTGCAAAAGCGTCTGGGTCTGCAAGAGTGGAACTTGTAATGCTGTCTTTGTATTCCAGAAAAATCTGTGTTGCATGAGTAGCAAAGGAAATGCAATTTTTGCTACGCTGAGAAGGCATTTGTCATGCGGAATAGGCAACAAGAAGCCCTCAAAAAATCTGTATTGCTAGTGTATGCATTACAGACATCATGGCTCATGCAAAACGTGCATGACAACTGTCAGAATCTTCCAGACCCGGACTTTTTTACGATTGATAGCACCAACTGCGGGCGCATTTTCTGTGCGGGGATGCGAAGGAGTCGGCTCCGTTCCAGCGCGGACGTGGGAAAAAAGGTGTCATCCCAGTCAAACACGATCAGCGTGTTCTCAATCGACGTAGCCGTGGTGGCCCCATGCGAGGGGGAGTTGGAGGCAACTGTGAGTTGTGTGGGAACTTGTTTGGGAACAATAAAAGTAATATGTAACAAGTAAACTCATTCATCTTAGCCTACAGCAGAATTATTTTTAGCAGCCGCAGCTTCCACTCTTACAAGGATAAGGTGGAAGTGGTACTGATTCTAGTTCCAAATCCAGTCCTATTGAATTCAGTAGAAGCAGATCATACGTAAAAGTACCTGATGAACTTCCCCCAAGTGCCGCGGTGCTGTCTGATATCCCCGAGCTGGTATTCGGTTTGTTGGAATTGAGGGAGCTGCGGAGCAGGGTGGGTGGGGTATGGCGTTCTCAAGCGTTACACTCTCAACTATTACATGAATTTGTCATGCAACAATGGCAAACGCGAAAGGGGAGACCTAGCGCGTCTTGCAAGACAGATTTGGCACAGATTCTCAGCCTGTTTGGCTCTTCGAGAATTTGTCATGCAAAGCAGCTTGATCATGTAGATACTGATGGCAATTTTGCATTACAAATCGTGTAACAGTTGAGAATGTAACATTTGAGAGTCCCATATGGGAGGCTGTACTCTTTCGATCCAGCGGTACGAGGCGCCATGCTGGAAAAAGGAGTATCAAATGCAAATATGTCTGGGTCTGGAGGACCGCAGAAGTTTGCCATGCTGTTTTTCCGTGACCCGAAAGGTCTGGCATGCAGGCCCTAGCATTACAGGTTTTGAGAAGGTATCGCTATGCCTAATCCGCATGACAAATCCCATCTTTCGGCGACACATAGTGGGCCACTTTTGCTGTCCACACATGACAGATTTTTGTGTGATTTGAAATGTGCATGACAAGTTCGCGTCCTTTCAGACCCAGACAAATTTGCACTTGATAAGGAGCGATCGTCATCCACAATCAGAAAGCTCGCCGCCGTGTTCGGTTCTACTTTTCGGCAGCTGATGTTCCTGCGGTGGTGGGGAGCAAGTTGTAGTCTTCGTCCGCTCTTAATGTGTTTGTAGTAGAACCCTGGTTTCTTGATTGCTTATTGTGGTTGTCAGCGTCGTTGTGGAACGAAACGAACTATCCGTCGCTGCCGTTTTTCTTGTCTCTTTTGCTTACGTCGCACTCGCGCCGCTTCTGCCTATAATCCCGGCTGGAAGAACTTTTGTCCCGCGTGAAGTACTTAAGTTGTTGTCGTGATCGTTCGTCGCGTGTCGAGTCACAAGTTTCTTTTGAATTCCAAAATAATGTTGAAATTACTTCTTTTTGGGGAGTAAAACGCCTTTCAAGCGGGGTACGTAAGCGTTGGAGCAGCTGAAGTTGCTATGAATGGACAAAGTACAAAAGTTCAGTATTAACTATTGCATTTTCTGAGCCGTATTTTTCATTTTCCAAAATGCAAAAACCGATTTCGATTGTCATGAAAACAATTTTTTGTCATGGAGAAAACATTTCTTTGTGATGCAAAAACTAAATTCTTGAGAACGCAGAACTGCTTTCTGA